GCGGCGAGGGATAGGACGAGGGAAGCAAGAGCAGCGGGAGGAAGGGCCTTAGCAAGGGTAAGAGCGGCGTCGTCAGCAGCGGCTCTAGGGGAGGTGTTGCGCTGGCAGGCTGCGGCGAGGTGCTTCTTAACGGTAACGGCCAGGCGTTGGCCGAGAACTGACGACCGCAGCTTCTGCGGTGCGGCGCTGCTCTGGATTGCACGCGCAGGAAGCGCGAGGGAGGCGTGAGCAGCGATGGAAGCCATTGCGCTAGAGCTAATGCGAATAGAAGCCTGAGTCGAGTTAGAAAACTAGCGCAAGTGAATACCTCGTCAACAGGCTGATCGAAGTCACAAATGGCTCTTGAGGTCTTCTGTGGAACGATTCAATGTTATCAAAATCTGAATTATCTGGCTAGGAAGAAATCTGTTCGAATATATGTCCGAGTACAGCCTGTCATCACTTCCCCCTGGATGTCGCGCTGAGCTTGGAAATGTGGATTTCCGCCCCGCACTCTAGGCAGTTCTCCCCGGCTGTGGCTGGGCGGTGCTTGAACGGATGGGGAAGGGGGCAGGAAGGGGGAGGGTGGGGGAGGTTGAAGGGCTGTGGTGAGGCCAGCAATTCCCAGGGCGATGCGGGCACTTGGAGCGGCGAAGAATCGCCCGCGCTTCGCGAGCCAATTAGGACGTGCTCTTGCAGCCACGCAGGCGCACAAACCTCGATGCCTCCGAACAACCTCAGGATGTTAGCCAGTGACGTGGAGCCCCGCAGGGCACCGTTCTCGGAGACCCAGAAGTAAGACGTGGGCCATTCTATTATTAACACGTGGACTTTGGCAACCAAATGCACCTTGGGGACTGTTGTCCTCTCTTGTGATGGTTCTCACAGTTGAGGTACTAGTGAGAAGAGATCCTGTACTTCTTCTTAGGCCTAACTTCATTTCCTCGTAGGCCTAACTTCAACAAAGTATCAAGCCACTAATGGTGTCAACAATGATGTACTATGTGCGTGATATTTCTATTTACATAAAAATGATCATGGAATGCAAGCGATTATGGATCAAATGCAGCATACACATTATGCGCATACATAGTATGTTTTTTTTTTCCTGAAGAAAAAAAAAAACCAGAAATAACATTTTGTCAAATCAAAACGAACGAACCCGTTCGTGCGTGCAGACAAGAGATGGTATGCATGAAGCGATGGGGGGGGTAGGAGGAGGAGAGACATGGACGCAAATGGAGAAAGAGGGTAAGGAGGTAAAGGTTGTTGCAAGAACCAGGATATGGGAGCTTCACGATGAAAGCAAAGGAGGATTTGGGTTCTCAACCCTTGCCATAAAGTTGTTGATGCCTTCTTGCTCAAACCACTCATGGTACTATTGAACTTTGAACGACTGTTCACGGCGACGTCAAGCAGCAGCAACTCCAACGTGCAGCCGACCGAGATCACACCTGGCATCACCGCGGTGCAAGCGAGCATCACAATAATACTCTTCCTTTGATAGCCTACCCTTCGAATGGGGACGTAATGGGTGCCGATCTCGTCGATCGTATGGTCTCCTCGATGAGCGTTGATAATCTACTTCTCCTCGATGACGTACGCCCATCGAGAGCAACGAATGAATATCTAGAATTTGAGCACTTGCGGCTCACACTCAGTGTGGGTGGGTAACGCATACAAGGGAATTCATGATAGTGCGTCAGTATGGTAGATTATGAGAAGCATCCAACGATATGGTAGGAAAGCAATGACATCATGACAACAACTCCTAGGACCGACTTCAAAGAAGTGTGAGATTTACGGTCAGAGAATTGTTTTATCGACTTCAGTTTTACTACTGTCAAACAAATTCAACCTGGAACGGAAGCGCTCAGGCCAACAGTAAGAGCCCTTCCACTTTACATCCGGATGGAGCACTTTCATGACGTCTCGTGATCACTACTTGAGACGCCATACGTTCACCGCAAGACCCTTGGGGCGCGCTCGTATGACCCAGGTGTAAACGTCCTGCTCCATGTCGCGATACCACGAGCTTCACCCATGCCCGTGCAGGTGCTTGCGACAAGCAGCAACAGCGTTGAGGTCAACAATTTTCTTCTTCCACCCCATCAGACATTTTCGTAAGATTCCGACTCTCGCGCCACATCGCTTACGTCGGTGACAGCCTCCAGACGAATGATTCACTTTCTATCCCGTGGTGTATGCGTGACGCTTGCGCGTAATAAGGCGATTATTAGGAGAGGGGGGGTGGGCATCTCGGCTTTGGGTCGAAGGGTGGGTATCTCCAGGGGGATAGGTGGGAGTCGAGAGACGCTGAGAAAGGCCGTCACGGGACCAGTATTCCATGTCATAATCTTCACCGACGGCAGATTCGTCCCACCAGTAGTTATTCGATCTTCCCCAATAAGGATCGTCTCCGTCCTCGTCGCGCGCAGCATCTGTGTCATCGCCGTGCACACCAGCCTCCGCGTAATTACCGTCACTCGCAACTTCCGCGTTATCTGTAGCCGCCTCGTAACATTTCTCAGCCTCCGCGTCATCCGCATAAGCCGCAGGATCGGGAGGAGAAGCGTCAGAATTGGAGCACCGTTCATAAACACAGCTGGTGTTGGCGGTGCAGGAGGTATCGACGGAGAAGTTGAGGCAGGAGGTGCCGGCGGAGCAGGGGAGCATGGGGGTATAGGAGGCATTAGGCTTGATGTTTACCGTCTAACCCTATGATGTGACCGTCTGGTGGAAGCCCGAACAGGAAAGCCACTCATGGGATGCCCACCATGGCTCAAACACTAGAGAATAAGCAGTTTGCCGGGACAAAATGAAAGTGTGAAAGTGCAAAAGGATTACGAGCAGAGACCCCTGTCGAGACGGCGGTTCGAGTTCCTCCACAACGAAGGGAAATCTCATTGCAAAGGTTTTTTCTCAGGCTAGGAATCTCGTCCCTGACATATTCCGGGCCAATCGAGAGGTTAGGCATGTTGCAATTGTCCCTCTTGCACGCCGCTTCCATGCCTGATTGGACCGCCATGATGCAGTACGTGCATGGATGCAGCTCCACTTCAGTGCTGACGGATTGGCAAGTTTTTTCAATACTCGAACCGCCTGGAAACGGTGTGAGTTGCACAGCCTGCATTGTGGGCTACACTTTAAAGTGTGTTTTTTATTGGAGCATGAGCTTTAAGCGCACCGTTGATCTTTGCCCGACAAATTAGAAGCGCATCTGCGCTTCTATTCGGGGGAACACAGTATATGGACATCATTTTACGTACTAAAACATTTTCTATAGAAAATGTACATAATATCTTGTTTTCACGCTCTAAAAATTGTAGTGAAGTCAATATTTCAAGAGCAAAAAACTTCCTTTGCGAAGATTATGCTAATATGGAAATGTTATTGGAAATTTTAGAGTCAAGAAAAATGACTAAAATGCCATGCCATTCCACTGCTTCCCCTATCGCGTACAGGTATCAGGGAACCTCGAAATTACCGCTACGCACATAGACTAACGGTCCGCTGCACACAGACAATGGCATGAAATGGGTGTCCTGCTGTGTCATTGGTTCTCGTTCAGAAACATTGATGCCCAACTTTGCAACTAGAGTCTCTTCTTGTTTGTCTCGACAGCTTCAACTGAGACCACAGAACAGGGAGCGATCAGATCATCCCGTCAAGGATACTTGAGAGCTCCTATGCTGCAGACTTTCGTTAGGCTTTCGCTCTCAGCGTGTCGCGTCACGGCGATCTTGGGTACTCTCCTTAGGTTGGTCATCCTCCTCATTCTCGTTTTCTAGCAATGCCTGCATTTTGCTGCGAATGGTTCCAATGTGCTTTATTCAGGATGTAATAAGGAATTAATACGAAGACTTCTCTGTCCTCCTCCATTTCCTACGAAAGCGTGACCTAAGCTTGCGTCTCCTATTCCGACTCCTACTACCGTTGGTCCTGGCTGAAGTAGGATGCACAGCCAGACACTCTTGGGATAGGGATCGACGACTCGAGAACTATTAGGTTCGTTAGCCTCTTTCAAGTTAATCACGCATGACATTCCTGATAACTTGGATATATCCAGTTCGTCGTGACTCTGGAACGTGCAGGATATCGTACTTCTTGTTTTTTCCTCTAGCTTCGAGCAAGCAGCTAATGGTTCCTACTTCCTCTCTTCAGGCTTTACCGAATCACGTCACCCGAGGCAAGTGATCGACCTCATATAAGTCTTAATGCTCTCCTTACTGAACATTAACGGGCTCATTTAATCCGGCCACCATGACTGCTGGACCAGGCTGAAACAGGGTCGTCGTCAATCAGGTATTCCTAAAATTCGGAGTTTCTAGAAGTCGATGATAGATGATGTTACTTTCGGCTTCCTGTTTTGCAGATTCAAATATGATTAAGTTCAGCTTGGTTACTCGATGACGTCCTGGTTTACTTGTTGAGTCGATCTTGGCTTCGGGTTTTGCATCACGCCATGATAAACGCTCAACACACTGCCTGCATTTTGCTGCTATTGGCCCCTGTTATGCTAATTTCCGCGAATCTTGATCACTGTGAGACCCCGGCATCCGACACTGATGCTACCCGACAGGTACTTTCTTAGCTTCCAAAATTGTTGACATCTGTATAGTCAATTTCAATTTGGTTCCGAGGTGTTCCTAAAACTTCTGGACAGGAACCTGCTAGTTCGTTACACATTCTCCGCACGTCGGGGAAACACCACATTTCTGCAGCAGCTAACACTTGCTATTTTCTAATGCTTGCTTGTTTGTGTTTTGAGTTCCAGGATATATTTAAAAGCTGCTTGGAAGATCGTTACTGACCCCTGTCAGTTCGTTCACTCAGATTCATGAACTTAAATGGCTCTCTTATTGCGGCTTTTGAAGCCGTTATTTCCAGTTGCCATCCAATGGCTACTGCTCGTCCTCATATTTCACACGGACAACCTGTTACCATGGGATCGTATCATCAGCTATCTTTTGGACCTGCCTATTACCAGCGTCAGAGCTGGCAATGGTCATCTGGGAAACATGGCCGTTTCATTGGTCAGAGCCTGGCTGGAAGGGGATTGGAGGATGCTGACACCGCGCATGCTAGCGTGGACCCAGGCGATCAGCTGGTGGCTGGCCTTTTCAGTTGTCATGACGAGCACGCTAACTGGTGTCCGAGATTTGATATTATCTGCGTTCGCCGATTCACTGATCAGAGCAACTGGAAGTCCGAAGCGTCAGACTCGCTGGAAGCTTAAGAAGAGAGGCGTGCTGGTTATAGCGAACCTCCAGCTCTCTCCATTGCTACTTGATGACCTGGACCTCCCGGTATTAGCACATTCAGCAAAGGTGGAGACATTGGAGCTCTCACTCCCCCTCCTGGCTTTTCTCCTCGCTAGAAACATCTCTCTGCAAATCAGAGGGTTCCATGTGGAGCTGACTTCTTGCAAGTTCCCCTCTGAGAGGGATTGCCGTGGGCTTGACGCTCAGGTGGAAGCAGAGAAAAGGGCCAGGCAACGACAGAGGCTGATAGACATTGACAGATTGCTCTGGGATGACAATTCTCCTCCTCCTTCCTTCATGCAGAAATTTCAAGACTTCCTCATTTTCACAGTTGCCTCCCGAGCAGCACAGTGCGTGCAGGTCTCCATCTCCCAGGTGACCATCCAATTCCGACCCAGCTCCCTAAGCTCCCTCCCTCAGCCTCTCCATCGTACTCTCGCCCTCCGCCTCGACTCCCTCAGCCTCAGCAACGGCCCTCCAGCTTCCACTGATCTGCTGCTTCCCAGGGCAAAGGTGGTGGACGTGCGGGGCTGCAAGCTTGAGCTCGTGAACGAGTCGAGCAGGCCTTCTGCTCCATCCTCAGGGGTTCAGGCGGGAAATGACAGTGCCGCAACTGGCAAGACGGATTCGTCTAGCAGACTGCACAGGCAAGCCCCACAGAGGCCTGCTGTGACTGTGGTGAAGCGCTGGAGCTTCTCTGTGACTGTGGAGGCAGGGTGGGGTTTATGGCACCAGGGCAGCAAGAACAGTGGAGTGGTGGTGTCTGCCTCGCTGGACATGGGTGCTCTCATCATGAGTGCGAATGAAGTGGTTGTGGAGTATCTGTCTGGCTTGGCTGTGGACCTGGCTGAATTCACAGACTATGCCAAGTACAGACAGACTCGCCCTCGTGCTTCAGTGCTTGAGGATCCCAGGGCATGGTGGCGGCATGCCATTGGAAGCGTGGCACGAGATCTGCGAGCAGCGGCAATGGACGTTGAGCTGACAGGGCTGTCGCAATCCCTCCAAGCCACCCTGCGCCTGCAGTACGAGAAGCAGTACAGCGACTTCGTTGCAGGGCGCTGCTGGTCCGTGGCGTCCGCTCAGACGTGCCTGCAACAGCTGGAGCAGCAGCTTGGCACGTTCAACTGTGCGCTTGTGCGGTTCAGAGTGGCGCTGGCAGCAGAATCCGAGGGGTTGTCCCGCAGTGAGCCCGCATGGGATCAGCACATGGCCAACGTGAGAAACAAACTCCAGGATCTGAACTATTTGCTTTCTGGTGGCTCTGTTCCTGAGCCTCAGGCAAATAAGCCAGTCCTCGAGGTCAGCAGCAGGTTTACCTGCCCCAAGCTGTGCGTCTTGCTGACATCAGCGTCAGACCTCGATTGGGGTGCTGAGGTGTCGCTGCATGAGGTGGCGCTGAGGTTCACAGAGAGGGGTTCTCTTCATGCTGAGGTGTCATGCAGGGAGCTTTTGGTACGGAACTTCTACGTCCCTGAGAGCGAGTTAGTAGGGAACATCGTGCAGTCTCTCAGCTTCTCCCAGTCCTCTCCCTTGCCTTCCTCCACAGCCTCCACACCTTCCGTTGCGCCTCATCCCTCGTCCGCATCAGCTTCCATGCCTGGCTCAAGTCAACCTTCCCCAATGCACCCTTCCCCTCTAAGGGGTGCTGCTGTGCCTGCTGCAGCAGCTGGGGCTGCTGCATCTTCCTCCTTTTCCTCGGGCTCCACACCCACTCCCTTCTTGGCGGTCTGTTTTGTCCAGAGGTACGGCTCTCAGCCCCGTCCCTGCCAGCTGCCCACCTGTCTGGTCGGCATGTGGCATCTCTCCTTCCCCTCAGAGCTCAAAAAGCCAAGATCAGGCCGTTTCCTCCAGTTTCTCCGGTCAATCCGGTCCGACAAGTACGCAAAGTCATTGCAGCAGAGCCAGAAAGCTGTGCAGACACCAGGAGAGGGGCAGCAGCAGCAGGATCTGAAGGATCCAGCGGAAGGGGTGGAGGAGAGGGAGCAGCCAACACATCAGACGACGGAGAGAAGCAGGAGAAGTACAGGAGAACATGGCGAGGCGAAGTGGAAAGGGGAGCGTGAACTGGGCGTGTTAGAGCTCGGGTGGGGCGAGGACGAGTTGCAGCGGCTGCATACTCGAGTGGAGGCGCACATGTCTCCCCTTCGAGTCTTCTTCGACCGCCGATGGCTTTTCCAGCTCATGCAGCTTCTCTCCTCGTCTCCCTCGACCCACTCGCAGCCAATTGCGGCCAGCAAAGGCAGAGTGCCAGGCCACTTGGCCTCACAGGCTGGGAAGGCTGTGACTAGCCGTGCTCAGGTTGGAGCTGGTGGAGGAAAAGGATGGGCTGGAGAAGGAGCAGGGGGAAGAGGTGGGGAGATGGCAATGAGGGACGCAGCTGGTGGTTCAGGTGACAGTGAGTGGATGCCGGATATCACCAAGCAGCAGCACTACCTGTACCACAGAAGGGGAGACTCTGCAGGCCTGGATTTCAGGAGCAACGGTGCTGCTACTAGTGCTGCTGAGAGGCGCCCTCCAGACACACCTGGTGGTGGCACGGGACAGAACCATGGTATCAGTGATGGTGGTGCGGCGTTGCTGAACCTGGCTCCGTTCACGGATCTGCAGGATTACGTGAAAGAGTTTGGGCAGCACATGGCGAGGAAGCGAGTGCAGCATGTCAGGGATAACCTGCCAGAGGTCGCCGCCCGGGTTGGCAGCATACTCTTCATCATCCCTTGCCGTGACATTGTGAGTGTGAAGTTGAATTTTGAAATTAAGCAATTTTGAATTGCGAAGTGCTCGTGCTGGTCTTTCACAGCTTCATTGCACCAGCATGGTTTGACTCCTTTCTGATGCGCGTTCATTACAATTCCAACCCGTGGCACTGTCCGTTGCCTCCTCTGACAGGGCGTCATGCCTCATCCATCATCATCCGCATCGGCATCAGCATCGGCCGGCCCTCAGCGCTCATCGGTGCCGTCAGCAGGAGGTGACGGCGACTTTCAGGCATTCTTTGGCATGGGGATGGACCACCAAGCACCACCATCACAGCCACAGCGGCATCATCAGCATCACCGCCAACAACAGCGGCCACAGACACAGCAGCAGAAGATGGCTCAAGCGTGGCAAAACCAGGGAACAGGAGGAGCACAGAGAAGGAGGCCTGCAGCACTGACCACGCCCCTGCTGGTGATATCCCTCTCAGAGATCGTTCTGGACACAAGGCCGACTGAAAGGTGATAATCGCGCAAACTAGTTTGGATCCTCCTCCTTGTTGCGTGGTTCATGATCCTTCCGCTTCAGCTTTCACTGCCCCTTTGTGGAGAAGCAGTCACCTGATCTAACTCTGTCCCTTTTTCCTCTCTCCTTCTTATGTCTTGATTTTCAGTTCCATTCTTCTGAAGCAGGATGATACCTCAGTATCAGCAGCGTCGTCCAGCGACCAATCCCTAGCTGCCACGTGGCGCAAGGTGGTGGCGTCCATGGCATCGCACAAGGGATGGATGCAGCGGCAGCATGTGGGCCCACTGCCGCCCAACTCACTGGAGCAGGTCAAGGTGGAACTCACAATGGAGGCTTACTTGACCCGTGCTTCTCTCTCCAATGTTGCAGATTTGCGGGAAAGGTAATGATTGCCTGAAGCTAAAACGTTTTTTTGGTTCACATGATTACATTGGTTGCCTTCATGTGGATCATACATGAGATTTTATGTCTCAGATCAATGTTGTGCGTGGTTCATGCTTGGGTGCTTGGCGCCTCGCACGCACACTGTTGGTTTGTGTATGCATATATGACATCCATCCATCCATACGACACGATACATGCCCTCCTTTTTCATTGCAGGGTGGACTTCTTAAAGTCAGTGTCAGTCAGTGCATCCGTTTGTCGCTGCACTGAACCTATTCGAGAAACCGCAACCACCGTAAGGCCCCTCCTCCAGATCATACCTTTTCCGCTCACTCCTGGTTTTCCTTCAGCTCTTTCTTTCGCTCGTCCATCCTACCTTCCTCTCTCATTTTCTCACATGTGCTTGCAAGTTGCCCTTATCTGCCTTCAACTGTGCAGCTGCTGAGTGTGGAGGTGGTCACGTCAGTCTTCATCGTTCAGCTCTCCCCGCTCATTGCCAAGGAGGTGTCCCGCCTCGTGCACACGTAAGCAACCGACTTTGGCCTTTGCATTGCACGATCCAGTAGCCAGTAATGCAAGACACACACGTTTCAGGCGCATCAGCCCACTTTCAGCACACTCCTCAGCACACCTGGAAAGCCCACTTCGTAACACACTTTCCATCACGCCTATCCTGTCCTCGTCACCCCTCTGCACCTTCCCACTTTCCTCTTGCAGTTTAGACGAGACCTTTGCAAGCACCGGAGACCTCTCCTCAACCAGCAAGGAACCGCCACCACCCCCACCTGTTACACCTGGAGCACACCAGCTGGGTTGGAGGTTCTCCTTAAAGGTACACGCATCTCTCGCAGTATGCGACAGCTCGACTCTCCTTTCCAATCTCAGCCGTAGCTTGTTTGGTTGCCAACTCTCGCTCCTCCCCGTTTCGCATCAGTTCTCCCCAAACCCACACACTCCCTTCTTCTTACCCTCGCTCTCCCACCTCCACCCCCCACCTCTCACTCACATCATTTCCGCCTGTCTGCAGGGAGGTGGCTTCCTGGTGGAGGCGTGTCAGGAGATGGTGCCGCACAGCAAGGCTGACTGCCCGTACGGCGTGTGCCGCTGCCGCCAGTGGGTGCCCTCGTCTGACACCGCTGTGGTACTCGTCTCCACCGCGGAGGACATGCAAGGATGCCCCCCCAGCACTTCCAAATCAGTTCCTCCACCTGCTGCTGCTACCTCTCCTTCTGCTGCTGCTGGGGGTTCTGCTGTGGAAGGCCAGCCCCGTGAGCCAGTGGTGGTGGTGTTCCGAGTGAGGCTGGACAAGATTCGAGTGGAGGCAGAGCAGCACAATGATAAGGTAAGTAGTTGTCAGAGCACCTCAGGTGTACTCCGCCTGCCTTTTGGGCTTCGTGAATTTTTGCCATATCCATCTTGTAACCTCAGAAATCGCTACTTGTCCTTCCAAATCTCACTTCTCATGTCCTTTCTTCCTCCATCAACAACCTTTGTCCTCCCAAACCAGTTATCTCTCCTATTGCTACTCAGAGGACTCTCCAGTGGTCGTATCCTCCCTCCTGTAAGTTTTATCTCTCTCCCTCTGTCCCCCCTCCTCCCCCACCCACCCCTCCTCCCAACCTTCACTTTACACATCACCTCTCTCTACCTCTCTGACGCTCCCTCACTCCTTTCTCCTTCGTTTCAGCATCCTTCCCCTCATTTCCTCCTCTCCCCATCCGCTAACACTTCCTTCCCTTTTCTTTGCAGATCGCGATGGTGCGGGATCTGTTTCCTCCTGGCAAGGTCATGATAGCACGGGTCAGTTCCAATACTGCTGGACCCACCTCAGCTTGCCATATGAACAGAACATAATTTTCTACGTTTGATCCGACTCCACATGCATGTCGATTTGTAAAAAAATAAGTTCCTTCCCCCATCCGGACCACTGCGCTGTTGCTATTCTCTTAAACCTCACTGTTGTTCCTTCCCCTCCGACATCAAACCCAGGTGTTCTACCGATGGCGCCTTCAGACAGTGGTGGCGAGGGGTTACAGCGATGAAGCCATATTTGCTGCCTACGAGTCGCTCCAGCGGGCCAAGGCTCAGGTGCAGTGCAGTGCAGCAGGGTTCATTGCCTGTAGGCTGCAGCTCAGTGCTGGGAATCACGGGAATTCGTGTTAGTGCACGTTGGTTGTGTTCGTTGTGCTTCCTGATAGACATGAGCAATGTCTCCATTGACATTACACTCGTCCTCTGTGTGTGTGCACGGGTGAATGGCTGTTCTACTTGGCTGCTCTGCTCGGCAGGTTGCTGTTCAGCTGCAGGAGGCAGGAACATTGCATCAGGTGGCTGTGAAAGTCGCCCTCCTCCCATTCTCCTGGTACATCCCTTTTCCACCCCTGAAACAGCCAATTTTCGACCTCCAACTTGAACCTCCAGCTGTAGACGATGTTGCTTCCTTCTTCCACATCCAATTCATCCTCTCCCTCTTTCATCTCACTTGTTCTCTCTCATCCTTGTCCTGCAGTGACACCAATAACCTCTCCGCGGTCCTCACCTTCCTCACTCACCTTCAAGCCGCTATCTCTCGGACCACCTCTGCTCCACCGGGTGCCTCAAATCCCCAAGCTCGCCAGATGCTGACTTTTGGAAGCAGCGAAGTGGAGAGGGGCTCGTGGGGCGAGCCCACACCCACTTCTTTACCCTCCAGCCGCCTGAATTCTTCGTCTGGCCGGTCTCGTGTGTCTTTTAGAGATGCCGCGGAGGACGACGTGGAAAGCGAAGATGAGAAGGAGGAGGCACAAGGTGGTGAGAGGTGGTCTGGGAAGCGTGTGGGGGGTGGAAAAGCAGATGGTTCCGAGTTCGGGCCTCGCGTGCGGAGGACTGGGGGTGGGAAGCGGTTGAGCATTGGAGAGCTGCCTGTTGACGGAAGCGAGGCAGACACGGATTCTGACGAGGATAATGAGAGGGGTGGAAAGAGAGTGTCTCTGGATGATAGTCCTCTGGACATCTTAGGTCCGAGTTCTGAATGGCACTCTCATGGAGCGCCACGGGAGGGCATGCGTGAGATGAGAACGCGAGGAAGGAGTAGGGATGGTGGAGAAAAGGACGGGAGAGGTGAAGGTTGCCGTGTGTATTCAATGAGTGGGTGGAGGGAGAGGCGGAGGGGTTGGCAGGGAAGCAGTGGGGAGGGAGAGGTAGCAGGAAGCGATGCAACGAGTGAAGTGTGGAAGCTGCAGGCTGAGCTGGGATGTGGAATGGTGATCATGTCCATAGAAGGGGTATCCTTTGGCAGCGTCATCATGCAGAGAGTGAAGGTGGATTTGACCTCGCAGCCAGACGCAGTGGATGTGGATCTCACAGTTGGCGATCTGGATGTGGTTGACATGCTCGCCAACTCCAAGTGAGTCCACCCAACTTAACACACTGCCCCAGTCCCGATGTCTGATGTGTCCGGTCCGGCACCGCATTCTCTGTATCTCGGTCCGATCCGAGGTGCAGGCTTCACCGATCCGAGCTGCAGGCTTCACCACTGCTTCACTGATTCTTTCTCTGTAACTGTAACCATCCCTCCTCTGGTGCATGTCCATCCTTGGGATTTTTTTCCCGACTCACCTTCGTCACCAGGCACTACGCTCACATCTTTGAGCCCAACGGAGACCTTCCAAGCCTTAACCTCGTTGTTCGGCAGAACATGGTGCTACGAGGGCCCAACCTACCTGCCAAGCCTCAGGTATGGCAAGAGGGTGTGACACGATGCTGTACTGATCTGATACACTAAATATCATGTTCTCACACTCGCTGCCATTCACGATTAATGCGTGCGCCCCCCTGGTGGGGAGCCCCAACATGTTCTTCCCTCACGGTCCACCACTACTAACTTCTCCCCACTCCGCGGTCACCCTATGTGAGCCGGCAGGTGTGTGTGTTCGTGGAGAGCCAGCAGACAAGGATAACTGCCATCTTCCGCTTCTTCAACGACTTTGCTCTCTTCGTGGAGCGCATGGCCCCCATCTTCTCACCTCCCCAGGTATGCAGCCCACCCACAGAAGCCTTTTACTTCTCTCCAAATCAAGGTACAGCTTCTAATCTATTTGCCATCCACATGTGCTGCTGGCTTACCCTGTCCAAGGTAGTGCATGCATCTGGTGGAAACCAGCTGCCACCTCACTGCGTATGTGCCAACACATGTGAAACCGTCTCCTTTTGTCTCTGACACCCCCTTCTGACTTGCTCGCACTGATCTGCCACAGGCATCCGGTGCATCTAAAGAAATCCGCGGCTCAGCCAAGGGCCAGGATGCCAAGAGGGAGCGGTCAAAGCAAGGGGAGGGTAAAGCAGCTGGGGATTCCGAGGGAGGTGATGCACCCCCACTGGTGTTCCTGCACATCTCTGACCTGTCGCTCTGCCTCCCAGTGTAAGTGATACTGGCTTGCTTTGTACTAGTGTGGTGCCCTGTTCCTCCTGTATCTCTGCTAAACTCTGCTGGTTGCGGCACATGTGTCTCCGCTCCTCTCCTCTCCACCTATCTCCCCCATGTCAGGTCGTCGTGGAGCGAGGAGTCTCTGGATGTGCGAGTGGAGACCATCAACCTCATCGTTCCCACTCCGGCTTCTCAGCGCCTGTCCCAGCACACACTGCTCAGGTGCATGCTTCGTTTGACTGCACTGGTGCAATCAGGTAGAGTCATTTGTTTTCCCTTCTGTGTCTCTGGCCCAACGCTCACCGCACGAATACCACGCACGTCCATGCAATGCACCACACCACCAATGCATGCACTCACCTTCATTTTTTTCCCTTTTTTCCCATCAACCCACCTTGTTACCGTCGTTGCAGACTTGCGACAGGCATCCGCCCTCAGGACCCCTCCTTCTGGAAGCCGCTGGTGGATGCTCTGGACCGCTCCCCCCCCTCCTGCCCCGACTCCGTTGGCATTCAGCTCTCCCGCTTTGGGGCCTACTGGTCTCCTTCTAAGGTCAGATCCTGTGACGGTCACTCCATTGTAATCTCTTCAAGGCAACCGTATGTGGTTGTGCTGATCCAGCTAATGGGTGCATGCATGCCCCTCTGCATCAATGCCCAGCTGCTTTGATGTGAACTTCTCTCTTGGAATAGCAGACGCCCTGTGTATGCAGCTGTTCTTCTTACCATCTGTGCCCCCTCCCCCCTTCTCCTGATCCTTGCCTTCTCATCCCTGTGCGTTCACTCGCCCCACTCCCTGCCATGCCTGCTTGTCCCCCCTCTCAACAGACCATCACCCCCAAGGTGGAGCGGAACATCATCTCTGAGAGTGGTGTCTTCATCTCCGTGCAGGTACGGCTTGAGTGGTCTGGAATTGGGTTTCCCAATGCGGGTATGGGGTTTACTGATACTACAACCTATTGTCACGATGCACCTCTCTGCTCTCTGCCCGCTCTCCACTCGCTCTCCTTCCCATCCACTGAGTACTCACGATTTCATTCCTGTCTTCTCTCTTTTCACCTTGGTGCCCTCTTTCCACTCTCTGTCCCCATTCCCTGCCAGTCCAATCCATCACGAGTGCACGTGCACTGGCCTCAGGTGGAGATCCGTCTGGGCCCCACTCAGTACAACGCCATCATGACCCTCATCTTCCAGAACCTCGCAGAGGGCTGCTCCTTCACAGGTAGGCTTTGGCACACTGCTGCAGGCAGGAACATGGGTAGTTAATACCACTGTGCATGCACAGGTAGTTAATACCGTAGTAGTGTGGGCACATGGGCACATGGGCACATGGGCACTGTGCACAGCGAGCCATACCACTCATCCGTACCTGGACATATTTTCTTCTCCTCCCAGCAATCTATCCGACCCTTGTCATGTTCCACAGTCCACCTTACATTCCATGCCATGCCATGCCAACCAAACCCCTGGCGGATAACCAGGTGCACAACCTGCTGATTATGGAATCACCCTGGTTCTTGTCGCTTTCCATCGTACCCCATGCCCATGCCCATGCCCATGCCGACCTTACCTCCCCTCGTCCCCCCATCAGACGACCAGGTGCACAACCCGCAGGTGGGTCGGCCCTTGGGCGGCGAGGCTGCTCCTCCAGACCCCTGCATCAGCCTGGCAGGGCTCACCCCCGGCTTGGAGATTCAGCTGGACTTTGGCCGCGCTGTCATCCACGCCGAGATGGAGCACCCAGCCACTCTGGTTGAGAACGGGTGCGTGTATGGGAAACATTCGTTATGGTGTCCCTGTTTTTACAACTATGGATGAGCTCTCCCTCCCGTGCTATCTGTTTTTATAAAAAAACCTGCTTCTTTCTTTTCTCTTCGCCAACCAACCAACTACCCCTGTCACCTGTGTACCCCCAATCAACCAGCTTCGGCGACCCCCTTTTGTCCTTGAGAGCGCACCGCCTCACCATTGTCTACTCCGACTACACTGATGTGAGCCTGCCTCCTTTCCCTTCCAATTTCCAACTACCCCGAGCCAAACTCTTCTGCGTGGCCTCCTCTTCCATCTATTTGGCACGCTTTGGCGCCTCTTGCAAGACACTCAAAGAAAATGCCACCTTTCTTTTCTACCTGCGTTCCATTTTCTCATCCTTCTGCACTCTGTTTTTTTTTCTTCCTCTCCAACTTATCCTGCTGCTTTCTGCCCCATCCCACTCCCCTCACCCCCCTGCCTCCTGCGTGGCTGGCTTGCTCTCCAGTTCTCGCAAGTGACAGTGAAGGCGTTTCGCCTGCTCTTGGTGGACGACCGCTTCCTCAAATTCTCCCAGTCGGAGGTTCGCACACTCCCTCTATCTATCAGTTTCACCTGTTGCACTTCTCTTCATCCTACCAGTCGTCGCGCTCTCCCCTCCACCCACATCCACTCTCAGACAACCAGTTTTCTATATATTATGTTTCCTTACTGCTCTCCCCACCCCCCTCTTTCTCCACCCCCCACACCCCCCCCCCCCCCCCCCCCTCCCCTCCTCTTCCCCCCCCACTCTTTTCTTGATGCCCCCTTTTCCCATCTCCAGCTGGCCCTTGTGGAGACCAACAGCTCGCGTGCCAAGCCATCCCCCACCTCAGCTTCCACATCCACCCGCCTCTCCACACCCCCCAACCACCCTCTGGGAGGCGAGTCCAGACAAGGGCTTGGGTGCGACCTGGACAGGTCGTTTCTGGTGAACGTGGTGATGAAGCAGGAGGGCACGACGGGCGTGCAGGTGGTGTTTGAGCGCACCAGCATCGTGTGGCCCTTCTACACGGACCTGTCTCTAGTGTGGGAGTTTCTGGAGGTTGTGGCTGGGTACTTTCAGAAGCCGGGGTGTGCGCTCGGGCCTGCCAGCCTGCAGCCAGATTCGTGGCTCATGGTCAACATCCTGCTGCACGTGAGTAGCAGGAAGGGTTGTGCTCCCAGGAAATTTGTTTTTAGCTACGGGATGGAACCACAGTGGCTGTTCACTTGGATGGGATGCAGATGGAGTCGTTTGAGAGCCTTAGCACCCGTTTACATCCCTATAACTTCTTTCCTGACTGCCTGCGGTCTTTTTCAGAAATGCTGGACTCACTTGTTCCCTCTCTTTCCCTGCACCCTCCCACCACCTACATCAGGACTTCGATCTCTTGTTGCCCGTACCAGAGGAGAGCCTCATCAACGTCTGCCCGCCTCCCTCCAGCTCCCAGCACTCCAGCCCTCGTTGCACCGACCCTCCTCTCGCCACCCTATCACCAATCACCGCTGACTCTCCTGCCTTCCACTCCGCCCAGTCCCGCATGCCTCCTCCCTCCACCCCGCCTGACCGCTTCTACGATGCTTCTGAGGCTCTTACTGCCAGCCGACGCAGCAGCAGTACTGGTGGTGGTGGTGGTGGTGGTGGTGCTGCCAGTGGCTTTGGCAGGAGTGGCAGTAGTGGCAGCGAGCAGTTTGACAATGCGAGGAACACGTTTGAAGAGCCAGTGTGGGTGCCAGAGCTGCAGGTGTGGAGCGACGATGTAGACCTCTTTCTCTCGGAGCTCAAAGCCCACGGGCTCAAGATCAGGGGACAGACTTTGAGAGTGGGGCATTTTGCAGGAGGGGACAGGGAGAGCAAGCTCCTGGTGGACTTTATCCGCGTCAGCAGCGTGTTCGTCCACCAGTCTCAGTACTTCGCCCCTCACGATTTGTTTGGGGAGTTCACTGCTCAGCTGCTGTTCAGCCAGCACTCTCCCAAGTGCGCCAATAGGCAAGCCAGCCTGCTGTCGCTGCACATCACACCTGATCTCCATCCGTCTTTCTCCTCAACTGCACCTTCGCCGTCTGCGACTGCTGCTGCTGCTGCTGCTGCTGTTGCTGCGTTTGTTATGTCCACCACCGGAGGGCAATCTGGCAGCAGCTGCATCAAGTCTGGTCGTCTGCCTATCTACTTTGTTTTCTCCGTGAGTCCCCAACTTGTCTCCACAGCACCTCTTCCGTTTCTTTTCAAGACCAAAATATGCCTTTCACGTTGTCTATGTGCCCGTCCTTCACTCAGCCCACTCTCGCAGCACCCTTCTACTTCCCAATCCTCTCACCCGTTTGACTCCCTGACAACCGCCCCAAGCAGCATCTGGTGGTGTTCAGCTCGTTCCTCCGAACGCTCAGCATCCGCCTCAAGCGCAGCGAGGGCAACCTGCTGCATCAGAAGAATCTCGAACTGTACGGGGACCCACTGCCGCCCGCCTTCGTGCCGTCCAAGCTGGCCATCAACCTTCAGATCCACGAGCTCTTTGTTGCTCTCATCGACGACAGGTGAGGAGGAGAACAAGGGCTGGGTTCTGAGGAGCCACAGATACCGACACGCATTCTTCGTGCACACTCACAAACACACGCTCGTACTGGCTCGCAAACTCTGAGTCCCATGCACCTTGCTCTTTTGCCCGGCCACCCCCCTGCGCCCCACCACCCCCCTGCACCCCACCACCCCCCTGCTCTCCACCCCTCCCCACGGCCCACCCATGCAGGATGGGGAACCCCACGTCAGTGCTGGAGCTGGTGGCCAAGGGCATCGTCTTCAATGCCAACAGCCAGATACTCACGGAAGGAGGACCCGAGCTGCTCTCCTGCCGCCTCTCCCTCATTCTCCTCTCCAACTTCCTCAACTCCGGCTTTGAGGTCCTTCCTTCCCAACTATCTCTTTTTTTGCTGGTGACTGTAGTCTACTCCTCCCTTCCCCTGCCCGTCTCTTGCATTCTCTGCTGTGTCTATTCTTCTTCTGCCATTCTCTACTGCTCACCCCCCCTGCGCATTCGCCTCCTGTCCCCCTCCCACCGCCACAGATCATGGAGCCGATGACCGAGTCCTGGCAGCTGGGGGCGGACGTGAAGTCCACGGGCAACCACGTGACGATAGCGGTGCAGTCACACCAGCTGCTGAACGTCATGTTCACGCCCATGCAGCTGCGCTCGCTGGGAGACGCCCTCAACTTCTACTCGCTGCTCTCCAACTCGCTGTCCGTGCTGCCGGGGGGGAGCCTGCATGGTGGAAGCGACCGTGACGAGGTATTGGGTTGGGTTGGGTCGGTGCAAAGGGTGCAGTACATGCGTGACATGTGTTCGTTTGGCTGGCTGTCTGTATGTATAGAGTGCAAGTGGCGCTGTCTTTCTCTTTCATCAGGTGTTGTGGATGGGTTTACTTCAATTCCATCTGCCCTTGACATGTTTCCATCTTGTCTTTCTTCTCTTCGTGCCCCTCAATGCCCTTCTTCCCCTTTCCGTCACTGTCTGGTTCCCTTTTCTCCACGCTGCAGTTGGGCTCTGGAGCGTCTTCAACAGGTCATGGAGGATCCGTTACACGGGCTACCTCCGCCCGGATGACTAGAGTGAGACATCTGACATAACATCAGGCTGGCTGGGGGGGAACAGGGTGGGGGAGGTTCGTGGAAGGGAGGGGAAGTTACCTACGATATAAGCACCATTGTGTGCTTTGGGAGAGTCAGAGACACAGTTGTCTCCTTTGCTTATTTCGTCTGCCTCGTCGTAATCACTTCCTCCCCTCCCCCCCGTCTGGCCATGGGACCTGAACCAAATTTTGGGGGGATATCTTAGCTTAGAAAGTGCTTGATTTTCTCATTACATTGCTTTATATAAAGATCAACGTCTGTCCTCCTCTCCATGTGGCTCCCTCCAGGCGATGAGCATGCTGAGGGCTCGCGAGTACTTCCCCAAGTCCGGAACCCTTGCAGAGGTCCGTCCGTACACTCCCTTCATCAGAACCTGCTTGTACAATGGATGGATGTTTTTGCTGCCGCATTCGCCCTGTTGTACCCCTCCTCCACCCAACTTGACAAATAGTGCAAGTTTGGTTTCGATGACCCTTTTCTCCGTGCAAGCCTTCTTAGTCCAGGTGTGGTGCTCTCCCAATCCAACGTCCTGTCCTTCATCTGAGATCATCTCCTTTCACACATCACACAGTTCCCTTAACCAGCACCACCTCCTCACAACACCACCGGGCCCTGCCCAGTGTGTGTAACACCATTGACCCACACAGCAACATCCCTTTTCCCCTAATCCCCATCATCCCTGGATCCGCCACCACGCCTCTCGTCCATCCTCGAGCAGACACTGGAGGCGTCACTGCAAGAGGTGGCGGTGGGGATGGTGAGCTACAGAATGGTCAACCTCTCAGGCCACACTCTCTACTACTGGACCGGTGCGTGCTGTCTGAACGGTAAACCCTGCCTGGGTGGCCGTGTCTTGTAGGTACAGCATAGATATTTGGGCCAAACGAGCATTAACTCGAATTTGCCAGTTGACCTTCGGAAATTGAGCTTGTTTCTGGCGTGCAGAGAAGGATGAGGAGAAGTCCAAGACGTACTCAGTGGAGGAGGGCGAGGAGCAGGTGCTGGAGGTGCAGCCGGTGCAGAAAGTGGTCACTCTCCGGGACACGCGCAAGATTCTCGCGCGCACCATCTGTGTCAAGCTCAAGGGGGACTGGCTGCCCATCAACGACATTGTCATGGACAAGGTGAGCTGCTCTCATCTCGTGGCGCCTTGGCATGGTTCTGAAAGCGCCCACTTAGTCAAGCTCAAGGGGGACTGGCTGTTGATCAATGACATTGTCATGGACAAGGTGAGCTGCTTTTTTGACGCAGCTCTCATGCGCGCATTTTGCCAATTTCCTTTCAGCCCATATCATTCACCCCCAAATGCAAGGAGACCGGAGTACGTATGAGCTTTCTTATATTCATCTTCAAATGACCTCATAAAACGTAAACCTACCTCTGCCCTTCCCCTCCTCTCCCCCCCTCCCCGCCCCTACACCCAGGTGGGCAAGTACGTGATGGACCTACGGTTGCCGGGGAGCACAGTGGTGCTGCCGGTGGTGTTTGACGTTACGCTCAAGTCGCGCACCAAGATCATCACCGTGCACTCCACCATGCACCTCCGCAACGACCTCGACGTGCCGCTCGTCTTCTTCGCCCTCCTGCCCAGCCCCAAAGAGACCGGAGGGGAGAATGCCAAGTCCTCCTCGCAGGTCTCCAAGTTCGCGCTCGGTGGGTTGCTCTGCTCTTTCCTGCTGCAGCGCTGCTTTTGCAATGTTGTTCCTCGCTCTATAATCTGCTCTACAGCACTGCAGTTGCGTGCCGATCGGCTCCGCTGTGCTGCATTGTTTTTCTTCCTCTCCGCGATTACTCATGTCTTTTCAACGGTGCCCACTTTAGCTGTCGGGCTATGGTAGCAGGTTGGCATTCGTATTGAGGTTGTTGACTTCCTGGTTTGCGCACATGTATTGATTCCCCTCCATGCTGAGTCTTTCCTACCCTGTGCAGGCCCCATACATCCCCAGCATGAGATCTTCATGCCCATCTTTGCAGCTCTGGGAGGCCAACTCATGGCTCAGGCACAGGTGCGTGATAGCATGGGTGCGTGATGGCATGGGTGCGTGATGGCATGGGTGCGTGATGGCTTGGGTGCGTGATGGCATGGGTGCGTGATGGCATGGGTGCGTGATGGCATGGGTGCGTGATGGCATGGGTGCGTGATGGCATGGTTGCGTGATGGCATGGGTGCGTGATGGCATGGCTCATGCACAGATTCGTGATGGTGTGATTCATTACAGTCACAACAACTTACCACAGATTGATTTGACGTGCAAATACTGCACTCTCCACTAGTGTCTCGTCGTTTACCCAACCACTCCCCTGTCTTCCCCTTCGCTTCTCCCCCCATTCGCCCCACCGCCTCCGAACACCTCGTGGCAGGGCTTTGCGCGGGCAGAGAAGGACGTGGTAGCACTGGACCCAGAGCACCTGCTGGAGCAGCAGGGCCTCCTCGAGTTCCCCATCCTCAATCAAGGCACCCGCTCCCCACTCGTGGGCAGAGGCAGCAGCGGCGGCGGCAGCAGCAGCAACAACAAACTGCTGAGCCGCTTTGGCAGCATGACACGGAGGCACAGTGACGGCGGGGGGAGTGTGAGACTGAGTGAACTTGGGAGTGTGAGGAGGGGGAGCATGGCGAACGGAGGAGAGGACGAGTTTGATAGGAGGAGCAGTGGTGTGGGTACATCGGAGGAGGAGTTTGACAATGCGAGTGATGTGAGGAGGCCGTTCTACTGCTGTCTGCAGGTCATCTCGGATCCTCTGGCACACAGTGCGAGCAACGGGCTGTATGAGGAGTTCACGCTGTCCTTTGTGCCCCCTGTGGCCATCCAAAACGGGCTGCCATATGACTTGGAGGCGTATGTGTGGGACGTGGAGTGGGGCACGCGGCACATTGTCTACGTCCCTTCGGGTCAGTTCCCTCTCCTATAGCTACAGCCACTACTACTGCTGATGCACTGCAACACTTCTGCACGGATTCTAGTGCTGCTTCCTTCTGCTGCAATCTCTGCTTGCTCTCCTTCCGGCTCCAGTCTTAACTGAACCTGTTTGTGTACACGATAAATTCTCTTCGCTTGTTTCTCTTCTCTTTTGTCCCCCCCATTCCCATCAGGCGAGTCCCGAGACCTCTACCACGTCAGCCTGGACCACACGCTGCAGATGCACATCGCTGTGAGCCGCCTCGCTCCTTTGTCGCACTGCTGAATCTGTGCTAAGCAGACGCTCTTAGATTAGAGGGTGCACTGTCTTGCTGAACTCTGATTTATTGCGAAGAATGCAGGTAGTGGTTCTGACCTGATGCCATATGGATCCCTCTTGGGTGCGCTTGTGCTGCTTTCTAATGTCTTTTCCATGTCCTCAATGCCCTGTTGCAGCTCTTCGTGCCAGGCGGGGAGTACAGGACACGTCGCCGGTACCCCATCCACTTCCCTCCCAAGTAAGCTCTCCTGTCAGCCCTCGAGCCCTCTATTTGTACTCCACAGGCATCGCAACCTCCCTTAATGTAAGTGTCTTCGCATGTCCGTTTTTCGTTCGCGTCATCATGCTGTTACCTCACCTGCTCGCTCCTCATGTCTCACCACCACCATCTTCACATAATTTCATCCCGTTCCCATGCCCTTCTCGCCCATTGCTTCCACTAGTGGACCCTAACCCTCTCCCCCCTCCACCCCCTCTCGCCAGCCCGCTGCTCCAGAAGCAGTTTGGCAGCCGTGCCTTTGCCTACGACGTGCGCTCTCTCCGCCTGGCGGTCAAATGCCGCCTCTTCCCGCAGCACGCTCCTACAGCCTCGCCCATCACGCTCTCCATCGACAACCGCCACAACTGGCAGTCGCGGAACCGCAGCATCGCGCTGCTCGCTCACTACTGGGTCATCAACCTCACCAAGTTCCGCCTCAAGCTCTCCTCTGGATCCTCCAATAACCCCCTCGATTGCCCGCGGTACCAGGAGGGCCAGCCCGCCTTGCTGAACGTGCGCCGGGGGGCGATCACTGCGATCAGCCTCGATGGCTATCATTGGTCCAAATCGATCTCGATAGATTCTGTGGGGATCAAGGGGTCGGTTGCGGTTGCTGGGCCTGCGTCCACCATGCTCCCACAGAACCACCAGCATCACTCGCTATGGCATCATGTGGATTCGTCAGCAGATGCTCCGTTGCTTCGGCAGCAGACGGCGGAGGAGTGGGAGAATGTGGTGCAACTGGATGCCCCTGCTGGCACTCCCTCTCGCCACACCACCTCCTCCATATCACCCTTCCCAGTCAGTTCCTCTGCCGCTTCAGACCTTTTCGAATGTTTTAGCAGATGCCTGAACACCTCCATGCCCCCTTATCCCCGTCGCCCATATCGCTTCCTCTTCACCCCTCCCATTCACCACAAATTCAACTCACCTTCCGCCCACCCCATAGACAAACACATGCACACATACACGTGCACCCTGCTTCAGTTGCTCCCCCATTTCCTTCACCAGCTTCTCTCCGCCCTTTTCGCCACACTTGCACCAGTCCTGGCTAGCACTCATGCCGAGCTCTCACCCCAAACCCAAATGCACATCGTTCTCGTCACGCCCACCCTCCGCAGGCCCTGCGGCGGTTCGAGTTTGGGGTGGAGGTGCGGCTGGCGCCGTCACTGTGCGAGGGCACGAAGCTCGTCATCATCTCGCCGCGCTTCATGGTGTCAAACCAGACCGGGCAGCCCATGCAGATCGCCCAGATCGGCACCACCACTGCCCGGGTACGTGCATACAATCGTCTTTCTCCTTTGGCCGATAGACCCTCTGCTGTATGCACCAGCATCAGCAGCATCACACTTTGATTTTCTCCCTGTTTGGGTTTGAAACGCCACTCCCTGCACTGCGCTCCCCTGCTGCTGCATTTGCCGAGTCTCAATGTTTATGTCTGCGTCTTTTTCTGCTGTGGCAGGTTCTGGCGGACAAGATGCGGCAGGCGTTCCACTGGGATGACGAGAAGCTCGGGACGTACCTGGTGGCTCGGTTGCTGAACAGCGATGAGGCGGAGGAGGATGATGTGGATGATGGTGATGAGGAGGAGGAGGAGGAGGGGAAGGAAGGGGAGGAAGGGGAGGAAGGGGAGAAAGGGGAGGAGGAGGATGGGCACAGCTTGAGTTCTGATGAAGAGGATAGTGAGGGGGAGGAGGAGGACGGGAGAGGGGAGGGAGCGAGGGAGAGTCGCGTAGCAGGTGAGGTAAGTGGGATGCAGCGACTGAGGAGGGACTCAGAGGATTCGCACGTGTCGTGCGAGTCGATGGAGGGAAGAGAGCAGGTGCAGGCAGGGGTGAGCAGCATTGGTTCCGGAGGGACTGATGATGGTGGGGACAGCAACGGTGATAAGTTGACGAGGTTGCCTAAGGGCCAGGAAATCGCAGCAAGTGGCAGGTTGCAGGGTAGTGGTAGCGACAGGCAGCAGCAGCAACCCCACAGTGGTGGCAGTGGCAGCAGGCGTAGGCAAGTGGAGAGCAACAGCCGTCAAAAGGGGGATGGAAGCCGCGGGAAGAGGGAGGATGGAGGCAAGGGCGGCAGCAAAGGCGGGACTGGATCTCGAAAGAAGAGTGCAGGAAAAGGACGGGGGAGCAAAGGAAGGGAGATGGACGTGGATTGGGAGTGGTCTGGTGCGTTTGATATTGACAAGCCGGGAGAATCAGCGGTGCGCATCAGGCACAGGCGCAAGAAGGGCAAGTATGCCATCCTCTCCATTGACGTCTCGCTCAACGGCGCGTCTGCGCTCGTCACGTTTGACACCTGCAGCTCCAAGCACAAGCCCCCGCCCTATCGGTACGTGCCATGGCGCCCTCGTTTCCCACACATGCTTCCTTGCATTGTGCATGCCCATTGACCTTTTGCTTGCGGGCTTTTGGATTTAGGTCCTCCGTTTGGATCTGGGGGTCTCCTGGTCTGGTCACACGGTGCCTGCAGAATGACACTTCCTTGCGTCTGGGTTCATGCACAATCTAGTTCCCGTGTGACCGTATCGTCGCGCGACTCATTCCCTGCGTAATGTGTCGCCTCTGCTCATCCCCATTCCCATGGCGTGGCAGCATTGAGAACCACTCGGCCTTCATGAGCATCAAGTACGGGCAGCTCACCACCCCCACACGGCAAAGGCTGCCCCCCAACCGCTCCACCAACTACGCTTGGGACCAGGTGTGATCCCTCAGATGCCGTAAGGGGAAGTGAGAGCTGCTGATGTTTTACTGGTATAACCACTTTGGTTGGTTGGAGCCCATACACCACATCCGCTTTTTATCAGGCAGATGCTGTCTTCTGGATAGGTGAAGTGTCAATCCCGCACCTCTCATCCTGACAGTAATTCACCAGCAGCCTCCTTTCCTGTTCATCTGGGATTCAGAAATTCCATTGACCAGCGCCCCTCCGTTCCCCACCCTCCCCACATGCCACACCCCCCTTTTTCCCTCCCTCTTCTCCTCTCCGCCACCCTTCCTCCTGCCAGCCGCGCATGGCCCAGCTGCTGCAGGTGGAGATCGAGGGGTTTGGTGTGACCCGTGAGTACGACCTGGACGGCATCCGCGAGCTGCCCACCATCATCCTCTCTGAAGACGACTTCACCGGCAATGCATCGCTGAGGGACAGGTACTCTAGGTCTGGGAAGGAACAGCAAGGAACTGGGGGCTGGGGGTAGAGAATGGTGAAGGTGGAGGGTGAAGCTGCCCACTATCATCCTCTCCGAGGACGATTTCACCGGCAACGCATCGCTCAGAGACAGGTAGGTCTGCGGGTGAAGTGATAGCTTCTAAGGAGGAACAGCAAGGAACTGGGTGGGAGTACAACCTGGACGGCATCCGCGAGCTGACCACCATCATCCTCTCGGAGGACGACTTCACTGGCAACGCATCGCTGAAAGACAGGTACAACAATTGTTCTGGGAAGGAACAGCAAGGACCTGGGGGCCGGGGGGAGAGAATGGTGGGAGAGGGGAGGGGGGGGGAAGCTGCCCACCATCATCCTCTCTGAAGACGACTTCACTGGCAACGCATCGCTGAGAGACAGGTAAGTCTGCCGGTGAAGTGAAACGAAGTGGTGAGGAGGAAAGGGTAAGGGACTGCCATTTTCAGTCAAACCGACCCTTTTCCATCCCCCCTTCTCACCCTTCCAACTCACCTTTACTTCCCTTCGCCCCGCTCCTGTTCCTTGCCCCATCTCGCCCCACAGGATGTTTGTGATGGTGGGGACGCAGGCTCGAGCGGTGGCAGCGCTGTACGTGAACGTGTATGCAGACGGGGCCACCAGAGTGCTCTCCTTCTCCGATACCAAACACACCTCCAAGTGAGCCCCTTCATACTATTGACTCTGCGTGTGACCGACTTCGCTGTGTCCCTTTTCCACCACCCAATCAAAGACATGCTTTCTCTGTCTTTCTGGGTCGTCTGTGAGCCCGTTCCTGTGTATCTGCTCGCGCTGCGTGCAGGGTGTCGGAGGTGGACGGGTTTTGAAGCGTCTAAAAACATCATTCTGAGGCGTCTGTAGGCGCCTAGATGATTTTTAATGTGTATCCGCCCGCACTGCGTGCAGGGTGTCGGAGGAGGACGAGCGCACCACGCTTCAGGAGAAGCTGCAGGTTACGAGCGAGCGAATCGACTTCGCCCGCAAGGTGCTTCAGCGCACTTGTGCTCTCGCAGGAGAATCCCCACTGGATGCTTCGGAGGCAAAGGTGAGCCAGTCTAGGCAAAGGTGAGGCAGTCTATGCGAAGGTGAGGCAGTATATGCGAAGGTGAGGCAGTCTATGCGAAGGTGAGGCAGTCTATGCGAAGGTGAGGCAGTCTATGCGAAGGTGAGGCAGTCTATGCGGGGGTGAGGCAGTCTATGCGAAGGTGAGGCAGTCTATGCGGGGGTTTGTGGGTAGGTTGACGTGATTGTGTAGTAGGGAGCTGAGCCTTGTGTGCAGAAAATGGAAGTGTGGTATTTCAAGAGTTTACAACCTGTCTGTTAATGTGGTTGGAATTTCGATTAACACCCATCATTATAACCTGTGATTGTCACCACCCATTTCCTGTGGTTGTCTGGTCACGGTGCAGCCATCATACATGGAGACTCCCGAGTACAGTGCAGCCATGGCCAGCTTCGCACCCAACCACCACCCCTCCGTGCGCTCTACTAGCAGCAGCTCCTCTGCTCGCAGCAACAGGCACCTCCGTCGCAGCAGTAGCGACACTCCTGTCGCCTCTACAAGCAGGAACCCCTCTGCTTCCGTCGTAGCTGCCACTGCCACTGGCAGTGTGAAGGAGCAGTTCTTTTCCAGAGAAAATTCAGAGGGCTCCTCCCCTCGCACTCCCCCAGAGACCTTCCGCGTGTTTACTGGCAGTAGTTCCGAGCCTTCTCCTGCCAGTCAAGCCGCTGGTGATCCAGATCCGGTCACCACACCGCCCAGGAGCCCCCTCCAGAGAAGCTTTGCCCTTTCCTCCATTGCAGCTGCTGCTACTGCCAAAGAGGCCCGGGCTTCAGGCCTCGCTAACAGCAGAACTGTGAGTGACTGCTCTGATGCCTCTGCTGAGCACGTGAAGTCACATCCAGGCAAGGCAGGACTCCGTAGGAGTAGGAGTCAAGAGGCAGCGGTGTTGCAAGCAGGGAAGGGTGAGCTATCTGCCAAAGGAGAGGGAAAGGCAGAGAAAGGAAAGGGTGTAGCGAAGGAGGATTCAGGAGGTTCGGAAGTGGTGGGAAAGGGTGGTAAAGGGGAAGGGAGCGGCGAGGAGACCCATGCAGAAGGCAGCAACTCACATTCTCAAGAAGCACCCAGAGAATTCGGTCTTTCACGCCCTGAAGTGACCAAGGCAGGGGCAGGAAGCAGTGCCAGTTCTGGGGAGTATGCAGGCAGGGCAGCAAGGCTGAAAGGGCAGCAGGCGCTTGACTATTTGTACCTTCCTGCAAGCGCGGCCGCCGTGCCTGAGTACCCGATGAGTCTGGTTGAGGCAACGGCGTATGGCGTGCAGGCAGGAGTGCTGGTCGTGAAGGCAGGGATGGGGGTGCTGGAAGGGGTGGGGGAGGTGGCAGAGGAGAGTGTGAAAGAAAATGTAGGGCCATGCGTCGGAGCTGTCAAGTCATCAGCTGCTGAAATACCAGCAGAGATGATTGTGGAAGGTGCCAGGTATGTAGGATCCGCAGCAGCAGAGGCGAAATGGATGTTGAAATCAGCAGTGAAGGTGCTGTCAAAGGAGAAAGCGGATGGGGCAGCAGCTGCAGAAGCAGAGGAAGGGGTGAGTCAGGGGGAAGGGACTAAGGAGGCAGATACACCAGAAGCAGCAGATGCAGCAGCACGTGTAGACGCCTCAACTGCATCTGGAGAATCACAGGGTGCCTCAGCTTCAGCCGCTACAGTTGGAGGGCTAGCTGAGTCTGACACCTGCGCATCTGCTGCTGCTTCTCCTGGCGCATCTGCTGCTGCTTCTCCTGGCTCATCTGCCACTGCTGCCCCTGGCGCATCTGTTATTGCTGCATCTGCTACTGCTGGTCCTGGGGCATCTGCCACTGCTGTTCCTGGCGCATCTGCTGCTGCTGCCCCTGGCGCATCTGCTACCGCTGGTCCTGGCGCATCTGCCACTGCTGCCATTGTGTCAGGTGATGGTGATGCTCCGATCGGTGCTGGAGGGGGCCGGTGGCAAAGAGTTAAACAGCGATTGACGTTCATGGTTCAGGGCAAGGGGAAGGAAAAATCACAGGTGCCAGAGTCGAAACAAGATGAGAGCGATGGTGAAGACATGAAGAGTGGGTATGGTGGCGGGGGGGAGGAGAGGAAGCCAGAGAGCCGTGTGCAAGGGGCCAGTGGCGAGGAGAATCACCAAGGACTTGAGACGGATGAGGTTTCTGAGAAGGCAGGGAGCCTTTCCCGTGTGAGGGAAGAATCAGAGGAGGAGTTGAATGAGGGAGGAGAGGAAGGAGTGGAGCAGGGCAGCTGCAGTGATGCAGGTAGAGAACAGAGTGCAGTCATGGATGCTGGCGTGACTGATAGTGATGCTGGGAGAGGCGATGGTGACGAGGCAAGGGGAGCAGAGAAGGAGGAGAGCGTATGCATGGTAGACGCTGGGGTCGAAGGACAGACAAGTGGAGCGCAGAGGGAAGAGGGGCAGGGGGCAGACGCGGCAGTGGAACAGGGCCAAGGGGAGGAAGCTGAGAGCAGGAGCGGAGAGACGGAGGGGGTTGGAGGAGGAGGAGGAGGAGAAGGAGGAGGAAGTGAGAGAGTGGAAGCGCCTGTGTCTGCATCTCTCCTTGGTTCCTCGCTGGCTGCTGCTCGCTTTGTCCTGGGGTTGAAGAGAGGCAGGGCTCGTCGTACAGGTGGCGCCAGTGAAGGAGAGCGAGGTTCTGAAATACAGCAGTTGCATCCTGCTGCTCATGCTACCTCTGGTGATGCTGCTGCTGCTGGTAGCGCTGCTGCAACAGACGAGGCACGTGTTGATGCTGAGGCGCAGTCCCATCCTGCTGCTGATTCTGCATCCAGTTCTGCGGCTGCTGCTGGTAGTGCGGCTGCTGCAGGCGGCGCTGCGTCTGCAGCTGTTGCAGAGAGTGGTGATGCGGATGCTAGCTCATCTGGTTCTTGTACTGCCACTGGTTCCGATGAAGGGCGTGCACGGGGAGATGCTGCTGGTGGCGCTGAGGGGGATGCTGATGTCACGGACTCTCATGCTGATGTCACGGACTCTCATGCTGATGTCACGGACTCTCATGCTGATGCCCATCCCAGTCAGCATTCGGATACTAACACACACGGAGCAGCGGGTTCAGAAAGTGTGCCTGCCTCAACCGCTGCCAAGGCTATTGCTGGTCAGGTCAATCCTAGTGATGGCAGTACCACTGCCTCTGCCTCCGTCCCAGCCGCAGCTGCTGCCACTGAGCCTGTTGTAGTCACTGCTGGTGGAGCTGCCACTGCTTCACCCACTGTAGCGACAGGTGCTACTGCCACTGCACCCCCTGTAGAGACAGGTGCTGCTGCCACCGCGGCCCCTGGATCTACTGCTGGTGCCGCCACAGGTAACAGCAGATCGACAGGAAGCAGGCTCAAGTCCAGCAGCAGCTTCAAAGTGTCATTGAGAGCAGCCGCTGCACGAATCATAAAGCCTGCGGCTCCCAAACCCAACAGACCTAGATTCTCGGAGGTGGTTGCTGGTGCCGTGGCTCGATCTGCTGCCCCGGTCGGTGCTTCTGTGCCTGATACCTCTGTTCCGGATGCCCCTGTTCCTGCACCTGCTACTGCTGCTCCTGGTGATCCCGTGTTGCCAGCGGCAGCAAAAACAGAACCCACTATTCACCTGGATTCTCTCTCCTCCTTCCCCCCTCTCAATTGCAACCGTATCCAAGCCACTCCCCTCAGCGCGCCAACAGCAGACCCCAACACTCGTGGTGCTGCTGCTGCCTCCCTCTCACCCTCCAGCTGCAGCCTTGGCGAATCAAGCAGTGGTGGCAAATCCAGTGATAATCTCTCTGCAAATATTGCCAGCGATGCTGCCAAAGTTTCCACTGTCGCTGCTGCTGCCGCCGCCGCTGCTGCTCCTGGTGATCCCGTGTTGCTAGAAACCGCGGCAGCCAAAACAGAGCCAGCCATTCACCTGGATTCTCTCTCCTCCTTTCCCCCCCTCAATCGTGATCGTGACCAAGCCACTCCCCTCAGCACGCCAACAGTAGACCCCAACACTCGTAGTGCTGCTGCTGCCTCCCTCTCACCCTCCAGCCGCAGCCTTGGCGAGTCAAGCAGTGGTGGCAAGAACAGCGATAAACTCTCTGCAAATGTTGACAAAGCTTCCACTGTCGCTGCTGCTGCCGCCGCTGCTACTGCTGGTTCTGCTGGCACTTCTGGCACTGCTGCTGGTACTGGCACTGCGGCTGCTGCTGCTGCTGCTGCAGGTGCAGGTGCTTCTGTTGATGCGGCCACAACTGCAACTGTTGATGCAGACTCAACTGCTTCTGTGTCTGCCCCTGCAAGTGCCCCTCTCGCTCCTGCTGCAGCCTCTGCTGGCTCTGGTACCGCAGACCACAGCAGCAGTGACCTGCAGTTGCCTGTGAATGTCCAGCCTTCTGAGTCAGCAGAGTTGGAACACCACAGGTCGCACTCAACTGAAGTTGCTCCAGCACTGGCAGACGTAGCAACAGGAGGCGCAGCTGGCGAAGCAGCAGCATCTGAAACACCAGCTGTTGATGATCCGCCTTCAAACAGCTTCCAGCCATCTCCTGAACTTGATGCAAGGCCTACCCGAGGCCGCGTGACTTGGAAAGGTGTTGTGGGCCAGGTTGGTGTTGGCGCCACTGCTGCCGTGGTCAACACAGGGAAGAGAGTGACAGGAGCGGCATCAGCTTTGCATTCCGCTGCAGCTGCTTTCCTCGATGGCACTTCAGAGAAAGTTCAGGAGAAGTTTCACGAGGCCCAGGAGGCGTTTGAGGAGGCAGAGGAGAGGGCGGGGGAGTGGCGGGCTGATGAGGGGTTTAAAGCGCAAGTGGGGGCGATGAGGACAGTGCGCTCTATGGAGTCATTTTTCGGGAGACAGGCGGACAAGCTGATGGAGGCCACACACGTTCCTGACATAATTAAATCTGCAACAGCTGCAGAGCTCCGGGCACACTGGCCCCATGACAGCTTCAGGTTGCCGTCGTCGAGAAGCGAGGGAGGAGAGATGGTCAGCGACGGGGAAGGGAATGAGTTGATGCCCGTGCCCACGCTTGAAGAGCTTCAGAGCATGGCGGGGGCGGTAGCAGCTGCTGAGTTGGAGTTTATCGGGCGGAATAGGCCGACTGGATTGGTCAAGAGCGCGAGTGTTGCCGCAGGGCAGATGGCAGCAGTAGCGAGGCGAGGCCAGGATGTGGTGGCGAAGGCAGGATCCATGGTCAAGGGAGCAGTTGGGAGCGCCCTCGCTGCCGGCTCGGAGGCGGCTGTAGCAGAGGGTAAGGCCTTAAGGGCCGGGGCGTCTGTAGCGCTGAGTGTTATGGGCGGGAGGCTGGGGGAGATCAAGGAACACGCTGATCAGGACTTGCAAGTGAGCCTCGCGGACTGGCGGAGACGAATGCAGGAGGCGGGGATAGGGGTGGAGGAGGAGGAAGACATCAGTGAGTTGCGGCAGGAGCGGATCCAGCTGGGCAACGAGGAGTACGACGCAGGGGCGATCGTGGGAGGCGACGTGACGGTTCACGTGATTAAAGCCATGGATCTGGGGCTCCGGCCGGAGAAGACGCATCCGTACGCGGTGGTGCAGGTGGAGGGGCGGCGGCTGCGGTCGTCAGTGTGCAAGGGCACGGTGTGTCCGCAGTGGGACGAGCTGCTGGTGTTCAAAGGCGTGTCTACCGCCTCCAGCATGGCTATCTCCATCTTCAGCAGCGAAACCATCGGCTCACACAAGTTCCTCGGCCAGGTGAGCCGTGGGGTCGGTGTGCAAGGGGTCAGTGTGCAAGGGCACAGTGTGTCCGCAGTGGGACGAGCTGCTGGTGTTCAAAGGCGTGTCTACCGCCTCCAGCATGGCTATCTCCATCTTCAGCAGCGAAACCATCGGCTCACACAAGTTCCTCGGCCAGGTGAGCCGTGGAACAGTTTGCCTTGCTCGCCCTTGGTTCACTCACAGTAGCTCCGCGAATTGTTCTTGGTGCGTCCGGTCCGGTGTGTCAGTTTTTGATCAAAATCGTTTCCTCCTGCTTCTTTGATATGCTACCCCCACCACGCTGCTCCGCTGTGCCGCTGCTCTCCCCCCAGGTGGTGCTGCCGCTGGTGGACGGCAGGGCTCTGAACCGCGAGCCCGGGTGGCACAAGCTGAGTCGGCGCACGGCACATGAGACGGTGACAGGCAGGGTGTTCCTGTCCACGTCTTGGGACGCCACAGAGCTCGAGCTCATGGCGCTGCAGGTGGGTCAGTTGTGCGTGCATTGTTGCACGTGTGGTGCCTTGTGTTGTATGCATGTGTGGTGGCTTTCACGTGCACACGAGACGGTGACAGTCAGGCAGGGTGTTCTTGTCCACATCGTGGGACGCCACCGAGCTCGAGCTCATGGCGCTGCAGGTGGGTCAGTTGTGCGTGCATGGCTGCACGTGAGGTGCCTTGTGTTGTATGCATGTGTGGTGGCTTTCACGTGCACACGAGACGGTGACAGTCAGGCAGGGTGTTCCTGTCCACGTCTTGGGATGCAACAGAGCTCGAGCTCATGGCGCTGCAGGTGGGTGGGTCCTTTGCGCGTGCACGGCTGCTTGTGTAGATTATTGAGTTGACTAGAAAAAAGAGGCTGGGGTGGCACACCTCCCGAACTCACACCTTTGCCTGAACGCACTGGAGGGTGCTTCCTTCCATCATTCACTCCCTTCCTCTCCTTCTGCCCACTGCCTTTGCCTGTGCGCCCATTGCCTTTGCCCCTGCAGCTGCGTGCCAAGGAAGCGGAGCTGGACGCACTGGAGCAGCGACTGGCGCAGGAGAGGGAGGCACGTTAGAGGCGCAGAGAGCGCACCTCCCCTCCCCCCATCATTCCCTGCTTCTCCGTTTGCCTCTTGCGTGTCCCTGTGCCCGTTCACCCCTGCAGCTGCGTGCCAAGGAAGCGGAGCTGGACGCGTTGGAAGAGCGGCTGGCGCAGGAGAGGGAGGCGAGGCCCAGGGAGGCCGTCATGGCAGCAGAGACCCTCGCCAACCCGCACCCACTGCAGCCCCACACGCCCTCCTCGGCCCTGCGCACGCCCACGGGGGGCCCCATGCTGCGCCGCATGTTCACCCTCAGGGGCCCTGGGGGGATGGGTGCAGCGGCTGCCTCGTCCGTGTCGCCTGCTGTGGTGCAGCAGCATGCCGCTAAGGGGCAGCTCAAGGTGAGAGAGGGGAGGGGAGGCTGGGGGAGAGGGAAGCGGGCCTATGCTGCGCCGCATGTTCACTCTCAGGGGCCCTGGGGTGATGGGTGCGGCTGCCTCTTCCGTGTCGCCTGCTGTGGTGCAGCAGCATGCCGCTAAGGGGCAGCTCAAGGTGAGAGAGGGGAGGGGAGGCTGGGGGAGAGGGAAGCGGGCCTATGCTGCGCCGCATGTTCACTCTCAGGGGCCCTGGGGTGATGGGTGCGGCTGCCTCTTCCGTGTCGCCTGCTGTGGTGCAGCAGCATGCCGCTAAGGGGCAGCTCAAGGTGAGAGAGGGGAGGGGAGGCTGGGGGAGAGGGAAGCGGGCCTATGCTGCGCCGCATGTTCACTCTCAGGGGCCCTGGGGTGATGGGTGCGGCTGCCTCTTCCGTGTCGCCTGCTGTGGTGCAGCAGCATGCCGCTAAGGGGCAGCTCAAGGTGAGAGAGGGGAGGGGAGGCTGGGGGAGAGGGAAGCGGGCCTATGCTGCGCCGCATGTTCACTCTCAGGGGCCCTGGGGTGATGGGTGCGGCTGCCTCTTCCGTGTCGCCTGCTGTGGTGCAGCAGCATGCCGCTAAGGGGCAGCTCAAGGTGAGTGTTGGAGGGAGGGAGAGGGCGGCGGGCCCATGCTGTGCCACATGTTCACACTGCAGGGCCATGTGCAGGGGATGGCTGGGGGCGCCTCTTCAGTGTCGTGCAGCAGCATGCCGCTAAGGGGCAGATCAAGGTGAGAGAGGGGGGACAGAGGGATGCGTAAGGATAAGGGGTCTTCTTGTATAGACACTACCTTCCGGACCTGCCTCTCCTGCTTCTTTTCCTGCCTGGGTCCTGGCAGAGCCAGCTGAGTGGCTGCACTGCTTGTATTTGGTTCCATACTTACTCTCACCACATTACTCACCCTCTTTTCTCATGTGGCCATCTGCAGGTGAAGGTGGTGGAGGCAAGGCACCTGGCAGTGCCAGCAGAGTGGCTGCGCTCGGCGTGTTTGGATCTTCTCTTCCCTTGCTTTACTCACCCCTCTACTCACTCTCCGCTCACCCTGCTCCTCCGTCCTCCCATGTGCAGGTGAAGGTGGTGGAGGCGAGGCACCTGGCAGTGCCAGCGGAGTGGCTGCGCTCAGTCTGTTTAAATCCCTCCTAAACACCATCTCTGTTTTACCCACCACTCTACTTACCTCCCTCCACGCACCCCTCTCTTGTCTGCAGGTGAAGGTGGTGGAGGCAAGGCATCTGGCAGTGCCAGCGGAGTGGCTGCGCTCGGTGCACCGGATGCGTGCCTTTGCTGCGCTCTCCGTGGTGTCCCCCTCGGGCACCAGCACGCTCCCTGTGAAGACGCGCGTCATCAACGGCACCTTCTTCCCAAAGTGGAACGAAACGTTCTCCATCAACGATGCTGCTCTCGCCTCCTCGCTGCGCGTGCAGGTATGGCTTGAGTCAGGTGGTTCTCATTCAGGTGTAGGCTGGTTCAGGGGGAACTGGTGCAGGTTTGACCTGGGTCAGGTGGTGCAGAGTAGTGCAAGCAGTCCACAGATTGGTTCAGCTGGGGCCGGACTCGTGTCACTGCTTGAACGCCTTGACATATTGGTTGCAATCAGATGTTTGCTTGTTTCGCTAGCGAATTAAGTCGGCCTCATTTCTTCTCAAGTCTGTCCTTTCCGAAACCCCCCTAGGCTGTTCCTCCATGCCTTCACGGTTCCCTTGCCTTCCCAATGCTCACCCCTCCTTTTGTACCATTGCTCCTGCTAATCACCCGTTTTCGTCTCACCCGTCTGGTGGCCACGCCCCGCATCCCCTACAGGTGTTTGACAAGCCAAAGCTGGGCAGCCCGAACCTCCTGGGCGAAGCTACAGTGGACGTCACCACCTTCAAGGTGTGGCTAGACACAGACAGACAGACAGGATGCAGATGATGAGAGATTCCGATTCGAATCGATCACTGATTTGAAGGTCATACCAACCCAATCTGTGCATGAATTTGAAAGCCAAGCCAAAGCCACATGGCTGAGAGTCATAGCATGTTCTCCATGCCTCGCCCGTTGCTCACATTTACGAGCAGCTTGTCTCGCCCCATGCTTTCCTCTGCTCTATTTCAATCTACTCTTTGCTATTCTTTGCTTTGTCCCAGGACGGGCTGCCACAGTACATGCTGCTGACTCTCAAGCGAAGTGCTGGGAAAGAAGGGGTGCGTATCTGCCTGTTCCTGCCTCCGTTTTCCTTTTTCCCCACTTTCCTTGTGAGGCCATTATTCCCTCCTGGCCTCCTCTTCACCTCCACCCACTATTTCCTCCTCTCTTCCCGTCCCTGGTCCTTGGCTGCTCGTACCATGTGCTTGCCATTTTGACGCATCCCCTCCCAACCTCCGCTTCACCTCCACCCACTATTTCCTCCTCTCTTCCCGTCCCTGGTCCTTGACTGCCCATACCCTGCACCTTGTGCCGACCTCCTGCCGCCCTTCCTTTCCTTCACCTGCAGGAGCAGGAGGCAGTGGGCGGCAGCATTCGTCTTCGAGTGCACTGGATGGTGGACCATGGGAAGAAGGCAGAGGAGAAGACGGGAGTCAATTTTATGGTAAGATGGAAACTTTTCACACTCTATGTCGGTCTACTCGCTGCGTCCCTGTCCTCATTTCATCCCGCTTTTGGACACCACTTCTTTCATTCCTTGCCTCTGTTCAAAGCCGTCTTTCTCCCCAATCTCTTCCTCACCAGCCTCTCCCCTGTTGGACCAGCAAAAGCTCCATCCATCCCTGCCCATTGCCCCACACTTCTTCACCTTCTTGCCTCGCTTCCCACCGCCCCTTCTGCCTGACTCCGTCCATAATATTCCTCGCCTTTTCCCCTCACCCCATTCCCCATCCCACCCCATTCCCCATCCCACCCCCTCTCTCCCCCCACACGTGCCAACTGCCCCCAGTTGAACCTGCACGGGATGACCGTGTCCGTAGTGGACCGCCTGCCCCGAGAGATCATGCTGCTGCTCCTGGAAGACATCTGCTGCTCCTGGGAGGAGTCGGTGAGCCGCACAGGCACAGGGGGAAAGGGGAGGGTAGAGAGGGGGAAACGGGAGGGGCTGGCTAGGCATGTGAGAGGTGGCGAGCAAGCAGCAGTTGGACAACCAGCTGCTCATACCCACCCACCACCCCTCGCCACACTCCCTCCCCAATTCCCACCCCTCTCCCCTCTCCCTCCCCCTTCCCTTCTCCCATCCCTGCCTGGCGCACGATGTATGGGGAGCAGGTGAAGGAGGTGGCGGGCAAGGTGGAGGTGGGCAAACTGCAGGTGGACAATCAACTGCTCACGGCTCGCAACCCTGTTGTGCTCTCGCGCACCCAGGTCAGAGCCTCGGCTCAGATCTCCCTGTGCTTTCTTGCAACATGCTTGAGTTTCACCCCCCCCCCATCTCCCTCTCGCGATTGTAAGAAATATGTTGACTCTCTCACGCTTGCATCCACGCTGGCCGGCACACTGACTTGTAATTCTTCTCTTTGCATTGCCCCTTATTCTCTCCCTCCCAGGCCTTCCCCGCAGAAGCCCTGTTCATGGAGCAGAGCAAGGAGCTGGCGAACCAGGCATCGCTAGCGAGCATGCTGAGCACGGACCCCAAGGAGAAGGAGAAGGCGTTCGTGTCAGTGGAGTTCACGCGCCTGCTGCAGCACCCCTCCATCGTCTACTACCGCCGCTTCCTCTTCCAGCTTCAGGAGTTCGACCTGGTTTTGGAGGAGGATTTCGTGGACACTGCAGTGGCGTACCTGCAGCAGCTGCCTATGGATGATCTCTGGCAGGAGGCGGAGAAGCGGGGTGGGAAGGAGGAGGAGGAGAAGAAGGAGGCGGACGAAGATTTGGTGGAGGATATGACCGGCGCTCCCATCACCAGGACTTACCTGGTCAGTGTGGACCTCTGTGGTGTAGCCCTCAGTGCCATTCTCACCTCACTGCCGTATGGCCTTGCGCCCGTTGCACCCTTACTTGCCATCTCTTCCTGCGTTGATTCCCTCCAAAAAAACCTTGTTGCAAGCAGATAACACATTCCCTTCTCCACTTCCTCCTCTGGCCGGCCGTTTTTCATCTAGCCTGCCCCTTTTCTGTCTGGCCTGCCCCTTTTTCCTCCTCTCCCCCTCTCCAGCCCCGTGACGCCACCATGGTGTCCCCCACATCCCGCCGGCACTTAGTTAAGTCGGAGCCGTTGGTGAACAGCAGCAGCTGGGTGGCGGGGAACCAGGGCCTGCGGTGGTACTTTGAGCGCTTCCAGGTGCAGTCCATGCGCATCAACGTCACGCTCGTCATGAACCCCATCAAGAGCGATGCACCGCCGCCCTCTGGCAGCAGCTCCGAGTGGCACTTGAGAACCACGGCGTCCTCTGCTGGCTTCCCGCTCATCTCGCTCACTCGAGCCCCACTCAGACTCAACAGGTGAGCATAGGCTGGACCAAGGTCTGCCGTGGTGTTGCGTTGCTTCGAGGTGCAGTCCATGCGCATCAACGTCACGCTCGTCATGAACCCCATCAAGAGCGATGCACCGCCGCCCTCTGGCAGCAGCTCCGAGTGGCACTTGAGAACCACGGCGTCCTCTGCTGGCTTCCCGCTCATCTCGCTCACTCGAGCCCCACTCAGACTCAACAGGTGAGCATAGGCTGGACCAAGGTCTGCCGTGGTGTTGCGTTGCTTCGAGGTGCAGTCCATGCGCATCAACGTCACGCTCGTCATGAACCCCATCAAGAGCGATGCACCGCCGCCCTCCGGAAGCAGCTCCGAGTGGCACCTCCGGACCACCGCGTCCTCTGCGGGGTTCCCGCTCATCTCGCTCACCCGAGCCCCGCTGAGAATCAACAGGTGTGTAATCCGCGCTGCCGTCCTCAGGGAGGGAGCAGCTCCGGTGGCACTTCAGCCGGAAGCCCCCCCACCCCTGTCAAATCCCCCCTTCCTCTTCATCCTATTCCCTTTGAACCCCTCTGTCCCGTTAACCCCCCCCCCCCCCCCCCCCTGCGTGTGGGCCACTCTGGTGCTGGACAACGCGTTTCAGAACCAGACCACGCTGCTGACATACATGCTGCCTTCTGTGAATCCCTCTCCGTCTTGAACCCCGTTCCTCTCCCCTTCCCCCCCTGTCTCCCCCTCCCCCTCCCACACCCCTCTCTTCTCCCCCTCCCCGCCCGAAACCCCCCTCTCCGTGCGTGCGCGCCAGTCTGGTGCTGGACAATGCGTTTCAGAATCAGAGCACGCTGCAGACGTACGTGCTGCGCCACTACGGGGTGCAGCTGCTGCTTGAACCCCGCTTCTCCCCCCTTCCTCCCCCCCGCGCCCCCTTCCCCCCCTCATGCGCACCAGTCTGGTGCTGGACAATGCGTTTCAGAATCAGAGCACGCTGCAGACGTACGTGCTGCGCCACTACGGTGTGCAGCTGCTGCAGGGGCTCCACAAGATCCTCGGCTCCGTTGAGCTGCTCGGCGCCCCGGTACGCCCCTCCTACTTTTCATTCATGCCCCAATACGACTTTGAGGCGCCTTTAAGGGGCTCCACAAGATCCTCGTCTCTGTCGAGCTGCTCGGCGCCCCCGTATGCTCCTCCTGCACCCTGCTTCCTTCCTCCATTGGCTGCTTGCACATATCTCCGCTGCTTTCTGACTCTTCCGTCCCCCCTGCCTTCTTTCATCCGAACACCATATAATCTGTGTCAAATGAACCCCTGTCCACCATACACCACCCCTGTGCCCCGAATGCGACCCTCCCCAGCTATCCCTGGTGGACAACCTTGCCACAGGAGTCATGGACTTCTTTGTTGAGCCTGCCTCCGCCACCACGTGAGTGACTGACTGCCCTACCTCTCGCCCTCTTGAACCTTTCATATCACATCTCTTCTCTCTCCCATTCTCGTCCCATTCTCCCCTCTGGTAGTGCTGGCCCCCATGTTTTTCTGCATGGACAGCCCATCCGTCCCCCGTCGTATCCTCCCAAACCCTTCCAGTTGAGTGGGCTTCGTCAACAGGGTGCTCAAGGACAGTGCGTCTGTCTTCAAGTCCAGAGGTTTCGAAACATTCGCCCTCTGCCCCTGATCTTATCCCTCTCCCCCCTGAACCTCTCTCCCCCGTCCTCCTCTCCCCTTTAACCCCCCCTTGGTCCCCCTCGTTCCATTCCCCTCCTCCCCACCACCCCACTGGCTGGCAGGCCGGAGGAGTTCCTGAATGGCGCAGTGAAGGGCACGGTGAGTCTGATGAAGCACTCGTCGTACGGCGTGCTTCACTCCATCAGCTCCCTCGCTGGCGGCATCGGCTCCGGATTTGCCAAGCTCACCTTCGACGACTCCTTCATCCAGAGGTACATTTTAGAGTCGCCTCCTTGCCACCGGCTCTGCCAAGCTCACCTTCGACGACTCCTTCATCCAGAGGTACATTTTAGAGTCGCCTCCTTGCCACCGGCTTTGCCAAGCTCACCTTCGACGACTCCTTCATCCAGAGGTACATTTTAGAGTCGCCTCCTTGCCACCGGCTTTGCCAAGCTCACCTTCGACGACTCCTTCATCCAGAGGTACATTTTAGAGTCGCCTCCTTGCCACCGGCTTTGCCAAGCTCACCTTCGACGACTCCTTCATCCAGAGGTACATTTTAGAGTCGCCTCCTTGCCACCGGCTTTGCCAAGCTCACCTTCGACGACTCCTTCATCCAGAGGTACATTTTAGAGTCGCCTCCTTGCCACCGGCTTTGCCAAGCTCACCTTCGACGACTCCTTCATCCAGAGGTACATTTTAGAGTCGCCTCCTTGCCACCGGCTCTGCCAAGCTCACCTTCGACGACTCCTTCATCCAGAGGTACATTTTAGAGTCGCCTCCTTGCCACCGGCTTTGCCAAGCTCACCTTCGACGACTCCTTCATCCAGAGGTACATTTTAGAGTCGCCTCCTTGCCACCGGCTTTGCCAAGCTCACCTTCGACGACTCCTTCATCCAGAGGTACATTTTAGAGTCGCCTCCTTGCCACCGGCTTTGCCAAGCTCACCTTCGACGACTCCTTCATCCAGAGGTACATTTTAGAGTCGCCTCCTTGCCACCGCCTTTGCCAAGCTCACCTTCGACGACTCCTTCATCCAGAGGTACATTTTAGAGTCGCCTCCTTGCCACCGGCTTTGCCAAGCTCACCTTCGACGACTCCTTCATCCAGAGGTACATTTTAGAGTCGCCTCCTTGCCACCGCCTTTGCCAAGCTCACCTTTGGCGACCCCTTCATTCAGAGGTACACTGGCGGGCGCGCTGATAGATTTAGTAATGAACAAAGATGACCTCTTGCAAAGAGTTCATGAATACGTCTCTTCTGCCAAACCCAAGCCCTCCACCCAATCCCCCTCCCCTCTCGCCCACCGCCAACCCCTCCCGCAAACAACCACCCCCCCACCCCCCCCCCCCCCCTTCAGGTTCAGCCAGCGGCCGGAGGGAACATCGCAGCAGGTGCTGCGAGGAGCACAGGACGTGGGGCTGGGCTTCGTGGGGGCCGTCACAGGACTGGTGCTGCAGCCGCTGGAGGGTGCACGCAGGGAGGGGGCCGTGGGTGCAGTCAAGGGCATGGGCAAAGGGGTGGTTGGGCTGGTGACCAAGCCGCTGTCGGGGCTGCTGGGGTTTGCGTCGACGCTGACTGAGAGCGCCGGCACGGGGATCAGGGCGATTGGGGGGGATGTGACAAGGCGGAGTGTGCCGCGGATTCGACTGCCCAGCACTTTTGGGCGAAATGATGCGATCTCGGTGAGTCGAGGCTGTGGTGAATGAGGATGTGAGTGTGTGTTGTTGTTGTTGTTGTTTTTTTGTTTTTTGTTTTTTTTTTGTCATTCACCTTTTCTTCTCTTGTTACCCATGATTTTTGCTGCTCTACTTCCTTCACTCCCTCCTTTACCTCTGAATCCTCATAACCTCTGCCTTCCCCTTCCCCCCAGCTGGAGACAGAGACACTCCTTTCCACTCCCCAACCCCCCTGCCACCCCTCCCCCCTCCCCGCAGCTGGAGCTAGAGAAGCTAGTGTGGATCTGAAGCTAGTCGTGGCCATTGTGGAGTTCAGGCGGTACCCCAGCGAGCACCACTTGCAACCCTGTCCACTCCCATCTAATCCCTACATCCCTCCAACTCCCCTCCAGCTGGAGCCAGAGGACAGTGTGGAGCTGAAGCTAGTCTTGGCCATCCTGGAATTTTGGGCGCTACCACAACGAGCACCTGTTGACCCCTTTCCACCCCCCCCAACTCCCTACATCCCTCCAACTCTTCCCCCCCCAGCTGGAGCCAGAGGACAGTGTGGAGCTGAAGCTGGTGCTGGCCATACTGGACTTTGGGCGGTACCGTGACGAGCACCTGTTGGACCATCTGCAGACGTCAGGGCGCATGGCGGTGCTATTCACCGTTGCGCGCCTCATCTTCTACGACTGCCAGCGCAACGTCTTCTACTGGCAGATCCCTCTTAAAGGTACGGCCATGCTGTGATGGATGTACAATGCTTGTCTCTTTTTCATAGTGTTGAGGCGTCTCAGAGAGCGCAAGGCGGTGCTCTTCACTGTTGTGCGTTTGCTCTGCCAGCGCAACATCTTTTTCTGGCAAATCCCCCCTCAGGGGTAGGTTCAAGAAATGCTAGTGATTTTTTTCACTCACCATGCGTGTGTTTTGCGTCTGTTCTGTTCTGTTCTGTTCTGTTCTGTTCTGTTCTGTTTGTTTGTTTGTTTATTTCGCTTGTTTTGTTTCTTTTCCATTTCATTTCGTTGCTTACCTGGATTGGAACCATCCGCCATCAAATTTCTCGTCTCCCCCTCCCCCTTCTCCACTCGGGCTGCAGACATAACCTCAGTGATGGGAATGGAGGGGCGGCTGGAGAGCATAATTCTGTACGATGCAGATGTGGTGATCGCAGGCAAGAAGCTCCCTCTGCGCATGCCCGCCCGCAAGGTCATCAAGACCACCACCCGCGAACTCCACATGGCGCTCTTAGTTAAGCTCAACCGACACTTAGCCCGCATCCGCGCCGCACTCCCCTCCTCCTCTGCCACCTCCCCCCACCGCGGGTCCCGTGATTCAGTTGCTGCCAGCACTGCTGATGATGCGTCACACTCCTCCTCTCGCCCCCTCTCTGCTGGCTCGTCTCCTGTTCTCTCTCCCTCCCCCTCCCTCCCTTCCCCTCTCCGCCTTGCTCAATCCCCTGGGAACGTCTCTGAGGCGAGTGCTGTTGGCGGCAAGGTAGCAGGGAGGTCTGGAGGAGCAGCCGGTGCTGGTGTTGGCAGGAGCAGCAGTGGTGGTGGTGCCGCTGATCGTACGGCTGGGAGAGTCTTTGCCGGCAGCCAGTTCCCGCTCACAAAGATTTTATCTGCGCAGAGAGAGCAGGAGGAGGAGGGGGAGAAGGAGGAGAAAGAGGAGGAAGAGGCTTCTGAATCTGCTCGCGGGGTGAGTGTGGCGGGAGGAGTTGCTGCGGCAACGGGAGCGACACGGTGGAGGAAGCAAACCAGTGGGAGAGGTGCTGCAGGCGCTGCAGCTGACAAGGGCAAGTCTCCTGTAGACCAGACTCACAGCGGCCCAGCTCCGGTCAGAGCTAAGAAAAGCAGCTTCCGCAGGGGCAAATCAGGAGGATTCGGGGGAGGTGACAAGTTGGGGAAACAGGGTGTGATATGGGAAGATGCGGATGTGGAGGCAGCACAAGTGGACCAGGGCGACAGTGACGAGGATGATTATCGCGAGGATGCAAATGGTGGGGCGGCAAGGGTGGCTCAGTTGGATAGGGAGGAGCGGCAGGAGGTGCGGCGGAATCTGGATGCTATACTGACGACTTGCCAAGTGGCGAGTGCAAGAGCTGGCGGTCGAGCAGACCCTGCTTCGGCTCTGGTTTCTGTGAGATTCCTTGCACTTGCTGCGTATTCCCGCGTACAGGCACATAGGGCTGAACAGGCCACGCTAGGAGCGACAGCGTTGCAAGGGGTGCGGAGGGGTGATGATTCGCAATGGGAGGAAGATGTGTCGGCATTGCTGCGCACAATGGTGGCTCTGACTGAAGGTGGTGAGACTGGTTCGTCGAGAGACCAGTCTCAGATCTTGGGAACGCTCGAGGCAATCTGCCACCAGGCCATTGACCGTGTCTCTGGCCGTTGATGGTATGTATACATTTTTTTTAATCCCATTAGCGACATTATGTTTAGTCCTCTATGTTTAGGCGATGACATGATTTGCTTTAAATCATGCCCTAAAAGTACGTAGGTAGGTAGGTAGGGCAGTCATAGGCCTGTATATAGGCTAATAAATTTTATTACCCAGTTATTGAGCTTAGTTGTGTAGCATCAAAAGAAACACTTCTGACACGTCAGCGTCGATGACATCCAGCCCAGATTTTGTCACGCGGCTCCTCCGCCTGCACACTTGTTTTCCCGCCTTCGTGTCCCGCTAAACCACAACAGGCCAACCCCATTTGGGAATGGCAGTCGAGGGCTCGGTGCTCGAGTAGAATCCAGGCCAGCGACGAAAGGTGATCTTGTGTAGTTTCTTGTTATCAGGACAATCTATGGTCGTGCAGTGGGTATAGCTCCAGGTGCTGTCTCGCGCGAAATTGAGCACTCTGCGAGCTTACTGCGTCGCATCCCGCAACTTTCGCCAATAAACGAGCCAGACTGTCACCCCTCTCACCGCGGGGGATCGTTGCTCTTTAGTGCAGTTTATCGTTCAGCCATTGCTGTTCTCGCGAGAGTCTAATCAGCTCTCGTCTCCTCTTTAGCGACCATTGTCGTTTCTCTCCGCGGTGCCATGACCGTGTGTGCCTGCCTCTCGCGAGTCGCGATCCGTGGAACGACGTCGCTTCCTTCCGTCGCCTGCTGCCCTCGCCGAAAGCAACAACAATCGCTCTCGCTTCGAAAACACAACGAGCATGCGTTACTAAGCGTCGCGTGCGAAAAACAATGTCGGTCTCAATACACAAACGTCGGGGTGTTGGGGTCGTCGAGACGACGGTGTTGCGGTGCAGTGCGGTGCTCCGCCGCGTCAGCAGATGACCCAAGGGCCACGCTTCCTTCCGTTGCTATCGTATCTGGCGATAATGGATCTCTCAAGGTTAGCAAATCAACTCTGCCATCCTGACTTCCTGCCTTCTTGCCTTCCTCCGTCTCCTCTACCTTCTGCTCTCATCCCCCCTCTGCCTACATCCGCCTCACCCTAAAAAATGCCACACCGTTCTCGGACCGTCCCCCTCGCCTCATCATGTCTGTTATCACCCACCATCCAAGCGCGATTCAAGCTGCCAGACAAAAACCAGCTTTTGAGGCGCCTCAAGAATGATCACTCTTCGCTCCACCATTCCTTCTACCCCATTTTCGACTTACACAGAGCGCGAGTCAGGCTGGCGCGCAGAGGGCAGCGCAGGAGGCGAGTGACGACGACGTGCTGATAGAGCTCAAGGACGTGTACAAGTCGTTCGGCAGCAAGCACATCCTCAGAGGCGCGTCGCTCAAGGTGCGGTTCCTACCGCCTGTCCGCCCCTCTCTACGCGTCCAAACGTGCCTTTACCTGTCACTTGCTTTTATCTATGTGTCATTCCATGCAGTCATTCCTTGCAGTCATTCCTTGCAGTCATTCCTTGCAGTCATTCCTTGCAGTCATTCCTTGCAGTCATTCCATGCAGCCATTCCTGCAGTCATTCCATGCAGCCATTCCTTGCAGTCATTCCATGCAGCCATTCCTTGCAGTCATTCCATGCAGCCATTCCTTGCAGTCATTCCATGCAGCCATTCCTTGCAGTCATTCCATGCAGCCATTCCTTGCAGTCATTCCATGCAGCCATTCCTTGCAGTCATTCCATGCAGCCATTCCTTGCAGTCATTCCATGCAGCCATTCCTTGCAGTCATTCCATGCAGCCATTCCTTGCAGGTCATTCCATGCAGCCATTCCTTGCAGTCATTCCATGCAGCCATTCCTTGCAGTCATTCCATGCAGCCATTCCTTGCAGTCATTCCATGCAGCCATTCCTTGCAGTCATTCCATGCAGCCATTCCTTGCAGTCATTCCATGCAGCCATTCCTTGCAGTCATTCCATGCAGCCATTCCTTGCAGTCATTCCATGCAGCCATTCCTTGCAGTCATTCCATGCAGCCATTCCTTGCAGTCATTCCATGCAGCCATTCCTTGCAGTCATTCCATGCAGCCATTCCTTGCAGTCATTCCATGCAGCATTCCTTGCAGTCATTCCATGCAGCCATTCCTTGCAGTCATTCCATGCAGCCATTCCTTGCAGTCATTCCATGCAGCCATTCCTTGCAGTCATTCCATGCAGCCATTCCTTGCAGTCATTCCATGCAGCCATTCCTTGCAGTCATTCCATGCAGCCATTCCTTGCAGTCATTCCATGCAGCCATTCCTTGCAGTCATTCCATGCAGCCATTCCTTGCAGTCATTCCATGCAGCCATTCCTTGCAGTCATTCCATGCAGCCATTCCTTGCAGTCATTCCATGCAGCCATTCCTTGCAGTCATTCCATGCAGCCATTCCTTGCAGTCATTCCATGCAGCCATTCCTTGCAGTCATTCCATGCAGCCATTCCTTGCAGTCATTCCATGCAGCCATTCCTTGCAGTCATTCCATGCAGCCATTCCTTGCAGTCATTCCATGCAGCCATTCCTTGCAGTCATTCCATGCAGCCATTCCTTGCAGTCATTCCATGCAGCCATTCCTTGCAGTCATTCCATGCAGCCATTCCTTGCAGTCATTCCATGCAGCCATTCCTTGCAGTCATTCCATGCAGCCATTCCTTGCAGTCATTCCATGCAGCCATTCCTTGCAGTCATTCCATGCAGCCATTCCTTGCAGTCATTCCATGCAGCCATTCCTTGCAGTCATTCCATGCAGCCATTCCTTGCAGTCATTCCATGCAGCCATTCCTTGCAGTCATTCCATGCAGCCATTCCTTGCAGTCATTCCATGCAGCCATTCCTTGCAGTCATTCCATGCAGCCATTCCTTGCAGTCATTCCATGCAGCCATTCCTTGCAGTCATTCCATGCAGCCATTCCTTGCAGTCATTCCATGCAGCCATTCCTTGCAGTCATTCCATGCAGCCATTCCTTGCAGTCATTCCATGCAGCCATTCCTTGCAGTCATTCCATGCAGCCATTCCTTGCAGTCATTCCATGCAGCCATTCCTTGCAGTCATTCCATGCAGCCATTCCTTGCAGTCATTCCATGCAGCCATTCCTTGCAGTCATTCCATGCAGCCATTCCTTGCAGTCATTCCATGCAGCCATTCCTTGCAGTCATTCCATGCAGCCATTCCTTGCAGTCATTCCATGCAGCCATTCCTTGCAGTCATTCCATGCAGCCATTCCTTGCAGTCATTCCATGCAGCCATTCCTTGCAGTCATTCCATGCAGCCATTCCTTGCAGTCATTCCATGCAGCCATTCCTTGCAGTCATTCCATGCAGCCATTCCTTGCAGTCATTCCATGCAGCCATTCCTTGCAGTCATTCCATGCAGCCATTCCTTGCAGTCATTCCATGCAGTCATTCCTTGCAGTCATTCCATGCAGCCATTCCTTGCAGTCATTCCATGCAGCCATTCCTTGCAGTCATTCCATGCAGCCATTCCTTGCAGTCATTCCATGCAGCCATTCCTTGCAGTCATTCCATGCAGCCATTCCTTGCAGTCATGCAGTCATTCTTGCAGTCATTCCATGCAGCCATTCCTTGCAGTCATTCCATGCAGCCATTCCTTGCAGTCATTCCATGCAGCCATTCCTTGCAGTCATTCCATGCAGCCATTCCTTGCAGTCATTCCATGCAGCCATTCCTTGCAGTCATTCCATGCAGCCATTCCTTGCAGTCATTCCATGCAGCCATTCCTTGCAGTCATTCCATGCAGCCATTCCTTGCAGTCATTCCATGCAGCCATTCCTTGCAGTCATTCCATGCAGCCATTCCTTGCAGTCATTCCATGCAGCCATTCCTTGCAGTCATTCCATGCAGCCATTCCTTGCAGTCATTCCATGCAGCCATTCCTTGCAGTCATTCCATGCAGCCATTCCTTGCAGTCATTCCATGCAGCCATTCCTTGCAGTCATTCCATGCAGCCAGTCCTTGCAGTCATTCATGCAGCATTCTGCAGTCATTCCATGCAGCCATTCCTTGCAGTCATTCCATGCAGCCATTCCATGCAGCCATTTCTGACCCGTCCGTCTTCCCTTCCCTTTGCTCCCACCCACTGCCTTGAATGCACAATTGCATGGGTCAGATCCGGAGGGGCGAGGCGGTGGGGGTGATAGGGCCGTCTGGCACGGGCAAGTCAACGATTCTGAAAATCATGGCGGGTCTGCTGGCACCTGACAAGGTAGAGCAAGAGCCCATGCCCGTTTCCTTGCATGCATCCAGCCAATTTTTTAGGCGCCTCAAAAAATAGATTTTGAAGATAATGGATGGACTGCTGGCGCCTGACAAGGTAGGGCAAGAGCCCATGTCCGTTCCCATTGCATGCATCCCGTCTATCATTTAGGTGCCTAATCGTGGCTGGACTGCTGGCGCCTGACAAGGTAGATTAAGACATTGTGCTCCTTGGCATCATGTGCATCCCATCGTGTGCATCCCATCATGTGCATCCCATCATGTGCATCCCATTATGTGCATCCCATCATGTACATCCCATCATGTGCATCCCATCATGTGCATCCATCATGTGCACCCCATCATGTGCATCACATCATGTGCATCCCATCATGTGCATCCCATCATGCGCATCCCATCATGTGCATCCCATCATGTGGATCCCATCATGTGCATCCCATCATGTGCATCCCATCATGCGCATCCCATCATGCGCATCCCATCATGTGCATCCCATCATGTGGATCCCATCATGTGCATCCCATCATGTGCATCCCATCATGCGCATCCCATCATGCGCATCCCATCATGTGCATCCCATCATGCGCATCCCATCATGTGCATCCCATCATGTGGATCCCATCATGTGCATCCCATCATGTGCATCCCATCATGTGCATCCCATCATGTGCATCCCATCACGTGCATCCCATCATGCGCATCCCATCATGTGCATCCCATCATGTGGATCCCATCATGTGCATCCCATCATGTGCATCCCATCTTGTGCACCCCATCATGTGCATCCCATCATGTGGATCCCATCATGTGCATCCCATCATGTGCATCCCATCATGTGGATCCCATCATGTGCATCCCATCATGTGCATCCATCATGCGCATCCCATCATGCGCATCCCATCATGTGCATCCCATCATGCGCATCCCATCATGTGCATCCCATCATGTGGATCCCATCATGTGCATCCCATCATGTGCATCCCATCATGTGCATCCCATCATGTGCATCCCATCATGTGCATCCCATCATGCGCATCCCATCATGCGCATCCCATCATGTGCATCCCATCATGCGCATCCCATCATGTGCATCCCATCATGTGGATCCCATCATGTGCATCCCATCATGTGCATCACATCATGTGCATCCCATCATGTGCATCCCATCATGTGCATCCCATCATGTGCATCCCATCATGTGCATCCCATCATGCGCATCCCATCATGTGCATCCCATCATGCGCATCCCATCATGTGCATCCCATCATGTGCATCACATCATGTGCATCCCATCATGTGCATCCCATCATGTGCATCCCATCATGTGCATCCCATCATGCGCATCCCATCATGTGCATCCCATCATGCGCATCCCATCATGTGCATCCCATCATGTGCATCCCATCATGTGCATCCCATCATGTGCATCCCATCATGTGCATCCCATCTTGTGCACCCCATCATGTGCATCCCATCATGTGGATCCCATCATGTGCATCCCATCATGTGCATCCCATCATGTGCATCCCATCATGTGCATCCCATCATGTGCATCCCATCATGTGCATCCCATCATGTGCATCCCATCTTGTGCACCCCATCATGTGCATCCCATCATGTGGATCCCATCATGTGCATCCCATCATGTGCATCCCATCATGCGCATCCCATCATGCGCATCCCATCATGCGCATCCCATCATGTGCATCCCATCATGCGCATCCCATCATGTGCATCCCATCTTGTGCACCCCATCATGTGCATCCCATCATGTGCATCCCATCATGTGCATCCCATCATGTGCATCCCATCATGTGCATCCCATCATGTGCATCCCATCATGCGCATCCCATCATGCGCATCCCATCATGTGCATCCCATCATGCGCATCCCATCATGCGCATCCCATCATGTGCATCCCATCTTGTGCACCCCATCATGTGCATCCCATCATGTGCATCCCATCATGTGCATCCCATCATGTGCATCCCATCATGTGCATCCCATCATGTGCATCCATCATGCGCATCCATCATGCGCATCCCATCATGCGCATCCATCATGTGCATCCCATCATGCGCATCCATCATGTGCATCCCATCATGTGCATCCATCATGCGCATCCCATCATGCGCATCCCATCATGTGCATCCCATCATGTGCATCCCATCATGTGCATCCCATCATGCGCATCCCATCATGCGCATCCCATCATGTGCATCCCATCATGCGCATCCCATCATGTGCATCCCATCATGTGGATCCCATCATGTGCATCCCATCATGTGCATCACATCATGTGCATCCCATCATGTGCATCCCATCATGTGCATCCCATCATGTGCATCCCATCATGTGCATCCCATCATGTGCATCCCATCATGTGCATCCCATCATGTGCATCCCATCATGCGCATCCCATCATGTGCATCCCATCATGCGCATCCCATCATGTGCATCCCATCATGTGGATCCCATCATGTGCATCCCATCATGTGCATCACATCATGTGCATCCCATCATGTGCATCCCATCATGTGCATCCCATCATGTGCATCCCATCATGTGCATCCCATCATGCGCATCCCATCATGTGCATCCCATCATGTGCATCCCATCATGTGCATCCCATCATGTGCATCCCATCATGTGCATCCCATCATGTGCATCCCATCATGCGCATCCCATCATGTGCATCCCATCATGTGCATCCCATCATGTGCATCCCATCATGTGCATCCCATCATGCGCATCCCATCATGTGCATCCCATCATGTGCATCACATCATGTGCATCCCATCATGTGCATCCCATCATGTGCATCCCATCATGTGCATCCCATCATGCGCATCCCATCATGTGCATCCCATCATGCGCATCCCATCATGTGCATCCCATCATGTGGATCCCATCATGTGCATCCCATCATGTGCATCCCATCATGTGCATCCCATCATGTGCATCCCATCATGTGCATCCCATCTTGTGCACCCCATCATGTGCATCCCATCATGTGGATCCCATCATGTGCATCCCATCATGTGCATCCCATCATGCGCATCCCATCATGCGCATCCCATCATGTGCATCCCATCATGTGGATCCCATCATGTGCATCCCATCATGTGCATCCCATCATGCGCATCCCATCATGCGCATCCCATCATGTGCATCCCATCATGCGCATCCCATCATGTGCATCCCATCATGTGGATCCCATCATGTGCATCCCATCATGTGCATCCCATCATGTGCATCCCATCATGTGCATCCCATCATGCGCATCCCATCATGCGCATCCCATCATGTGCATCCCATCATGCGCATCCCATCATGTGCATCCCATCATGTGGATCCCATCATGTGCATCCCATCATGTGCATCACATCATGTGCATCCCATCATGTGCATCCCATCATGTGCATCCCATCATGTGCATCCCATCATGTGCATCCATCATGTGCATCCCATCATGTGCATCCCATCATGCGCATCCCATCATGCGCATCCCATCATGTGCATCCCATCATGCGCATCCCATCATGTGCATCCCATCATGTGGATCCCATCATGTGCATCCCATCATGTGCATCACATCATGTGCATCCCATCATGTGCATCCCATCATGTGCATCCCATCATGTGCATCCCATCATGTGCATCCCATCATGCGCATCCCATCATGTGCATCCCATCATGCGCATCCCATCATGTGCATCCCATCATGTGCATCACATCATGTGCATCCCATCATGTGCATCCCATCATGTGCATCCCATCATGTGCATCCCATCATGCGCATCCCATCATGTGCATCCCATCATGCGCATCCCATCATGTGCATCCCATCATGTGGATCCCATCATGTGCATCCCATCATGTGCATCCCATCATGTGCATCCCATCATGTGCATCCCATCATGTGCATCCCATCTTGTGCACCCCATCATGTGCATCCCATCATGTGCATCCCATCATGTGCATCCCATCATGTGCATCCCATCATGTGCATCCCATCATGTGCATCCCATCATGCGCATCCCATCATGCGCATCCCATCATGTGCATCCCATCTTGTGCACCCCATCATGTGCATCCCATCATGTGCATCCCATCATGTGCATCCCATCATGTGCATCCCATCATGTGCATCCCATCATGTGCATCCCATCATGCGCATCCCATCATGCGCATCCCATCATGTGCATCCCATCATGTGGATCCCATCATGTGCATCCCATCATGTGCATCCCATCATGCGCATCCCATCATGCGCATCCCATCATGTGCATCCCATCATGCGCATCCCATCATGTGCATCCCATCATGTGCATCCCATCATGTGCATCCCATCATGTGCATCCCATCATGCGCATCCCATCATGCGCATCCCATCATGTGCATCCCATCTTGTGCACCCCATCATGTGCATCCCATCATGTGCATCCCATCATGTGCATCCCATCATGTGCATCCCATCATGTGCATCCCATCATGTGCATCCCATCATGCGCATCCCATCATGCGCATCCCATCATGTGCATCCCATCATGTGGATCCCATCATGTGCATCCCATCATGTGCATCCCATCATGCGCATCCCATCATGCGCATCCCATCATGTGCATCCCATCATGCGCATCCCATCATGTGCATCCCATCATGTGCATCCCATCATGTGCATCCCATCATGTGCATCCCATCATGTGCACCCTATTGTGTGCATCCAGCCACATGCAGCCCATCGCATGCATGCCATCGTGTTCATCCCATCGTGTGCCCCATCACATACATCCCATTCCTTTTCGCCTTCCCACTTGCCCCCAACCACCCTCTTCTCCCTGTCGCTCCCTGCCAGGGCGAGGTGTGGATATGCGGCAAGAAGCGAGAGGGGTTGATCAGCGATCAGGAGAACATGGGCTTGCGGATTGGCCTGGTAAGGTGTTCAAAGGACTGTGGAGTTGCATTGTTTCTTCATCAGCCTGATTTTTCTTGTGGATGTAAGCTGAGGGACGTGAAACGTTTTCTATGCCCTTGCATCTTTTAGGAAGGAAGTTACATATTGTAGTGCGAATTGGTAGTTATGTTTCTGTTTTTTTGTTTTTTTCATGTTTTTTGTTTTTTTTTTTTTCATTTTTTCATTTTTGTGGCTCTTTTTTATTCATGTGTGTTTGAGTCAACCTAGAGCACACCTGTTTGTACCCCTATTTTTCATCAACTTGCAGGTGTTTCAAAGCGCAGCTCTGTTCGACTCATTGACCGTGCGTGAGAATGTGGGCTTCCTGCTGTGAGTCTCCCGCCTCCCTAGCCTATCCCGTAACTGTGTCATATGATTGCCCTCGCCTATATTTTATGCCCCCTAGGACCCCCGTTTTTTCTGCCCTGAGCAGTATATTTTTTCCTGATCTCGTGCAACTGTATTGGCATCATTGGATCTGCTCGTGCCAGCTGTCAAACCTTGAAAATCCCTCACCTCGTTTGTGTTACGTCAGATACGAGCACTCGCGGCTGTCTGAGGAGGAGATTCGCCTGCGAGTGAAGGACAGCCTCAAGGCAGTGGGGCTCAAGGTGAGCAGCAGTGGGGCTTTAAGAAAGCATCAGTGGGGCTTTAAGACAGAAGCAGGGAGGCTTTAAGATAGCAGCAGTGGGGCTTTAAGAGAGCAGCAGTGGGGCTTTAAGACAGCAGCAGTGGGACTCGAAGTGAGCAGAAGGAGGGCTCAAAAGTGAACAGCAGTAGGGCTCGAAGTGAACAGCAAGTTTATCTCTTCCTTTCCACCCCACCTCACTCCTCCTGCAATTTCCTTCTTTCTCCTACCATCCTTTCACTTCCTCCCCCTCCATCCCCTCATCTGATCCTCTTGCGCTGTCTGCCCTCCATCCGGCAGAATGTGGAGGAGCGATTCCCCTCGGAGCTCTCAGGCGGCATGAAGAAGCGAGTAGCACTGGCACGGGCGATCGTGTCGGACAGCGATGCTCCGCAGCTGGAGGAGGAGGTGGTGATGTACGATGAGCCGACCGCAGGGCTAGATCCGATTGCGTCCACCGTGGTCGAAGATTTGATTCGCTCGCTGCACGTAAGGTCATCGGTTCCGGTGCCGGTGACTGCGGAGATAGCAGCTGGGTTGGAGTCGGATTTTGAAACAGAGTCTGAGGATTCGGAGGATGAGATGGGCGGCGGGAGAGGGGCGGGTGGTGCTGCGGGTGGGGGCAGCAGGGATGGTAGCGGCAGCGGCAGCGGTGGTGGCTCCAAGGCTCGCAAAATGGCATCGGTATCGTCGTACATTGTCGTGACACATCAGCACAGCACGATTCGGCGAGCTGTTGACAGGTCAGCATGCTGCCTTGTGTTGACAGGTCTTCTCTGTCTCCCTGCCTCGCTTTTGTCATACCTCTTCTCTTGCAGCGAACCTAGCTTGTGGTTGGCCCGGCCAGGCCATGACAGGTCCTGCACCTGTGGTGGGATGGGTGCGAATCAAGATCGCAGAACCTGAGAGTTTCATGGTGTCTTTTGAGAGTTTATTTGAGGCATCCCAAATAATTTTTTTCAGATGTATTTTGAATTCACCTGCCTGTTCTGAGTGTTGACGTCTGCGGTGCTTGCAGGCTGCTGTTCCTGTACGGAGGGGAGGTGGTGTGGGAGGGCCCCACAGAGGAGTTTTGACACGACTGACAACCCCATAGTGAGACAGGTGAGTAGATGCACCTGGCGATGCCTGTCAGATGGAGTCCCTTTTATCACATGTGCCTGGTTCTGCTGCATGTGCGCGTGCTGCTGCATGTGCATGTGATGGTGCATGTGCGTGTGCTGCTGCATGTGCATGTGACGGTGCATGTGCGTGTGCTGCTGCATGTGCGTGTGATGGTGCATGTGCGTGTGCTGCTGCATGTTCATGTGCTGCTGCATGTGCGTGTCCTGCTACACTGGATGCTCTTATTGCTAGCATGACCAGTTCCCTTTCCTCTTCTGTTCTTGCGTGTGCTTGCAGTTTGCTGTTGGCAGTCTCGACGGCCCTATTCGCTACTAGTCTGTGCTGTCACATTCTGAGAGCCAAGCGAGAGCTAGCGCCAGGCACCTATCATACAACTCAGCAGTTTACACCATAACTTCCATGTAGACCATCCAACGGGCATACATATTGTATTGCGCACTGCATCAGATGCAGCTGCCGCTGCTACCACCTCTAGGCATTCCATGCAATGCTTCTCTGGCAGTCTGAAAAAAAAGCAATGCAAGCCCTCATGCATTATATTACATACAGGTAAAAGGGAGACCAGACAGGGCTGCCTACAAGATTGAAACTATTGTACGTTTCAACATGGCAGCCTAAGGTACCGTATCTATTCAGATTCTCAACCTAGGCTACAGAGAGTCCACATTCCTCTAGTTGTCCATGCCTTGACACACCACATATTCCAAAAGGTCGAACACATGAGTCCACGCATCCTCCACCACTCCGCGCCACCTGCTCCCCATCGCCTTCCCATCGTTTTCAAAAATGCTGTTCTGAAAATCGGCGTATCGTCAGCAGCTACACCGTAATTTAGATGTCTACACCCCAGCGACATGAATCTCGGCGTGACCTTTTTCTCGACCGCATCCGCGTCGTCCATCTGCATGATCGCTTCGCACATGAGCCCGAAGGCGTGCGTCGCGTGCTCCTGCAGCCGCTTGTTCAGCGGCGCGGGTTCCGACGAGTTGCGCACGTATGAAAAGAGGTTGCGGCCGTCCGGGGAAATGTCGAAAACACTGGTGAGAGGAGATGGGGGAGAGGGGGAGGGGGGGGGGGGGAGGGGAAACAGGACAGGCGGAATGCGCGAGAGGGGAGAACAGAGAAGGGAGAGAGAGAGGGGACGGAGTAAGTGGGTGAGGGCTGTGTTATGGGCATGGCTGGTTGAGCGAAGTGTTGCAAAAAGCGCATCACACTTCGTTACAAATGGGTATGAGGGGGTTCGTACATGAGGAAGAGAATGATGGCGTGCTGATCGACGTTTGGCTGCACGAACTCGGCGAATGTCTCCCGCACGATCTGACCCTGCTCTGCTGTCAGCAACGACGGCCTCTCGCCCGTGGAACTGCTGCTTATCGGTGGCCCCGATATAGAGGGATCCGCTAACGACGCTCGCATTACAAAGTCCATTCTGAATGTCTGCCTCTCGGTTGGAGATACCCCAGTGCGTGCAAGGTGCGCGAAGTCGTCAAAGGACGCTGCGTTTCTCGGAGGATCTACGAAACAGCTCGCGGAGGCTTGTGTGACTGCGCTGTGATGAGGAACAAAAGAGCAGGAGGAACGCGGGAAGGGACGAGACGTTCGAGCGAACTGGGAACTAGGTCGAAAGCGCAAGGGGGCGAGCGGTAGAGATCGTTCAGGCTGACTACTGTGGTTGTGAACTCTAGTCACACCGAAAGTCCTCGCGAGTGAGTTATGTACACACTACAAGTTTGAGATCTAGGGCCAGAGCATGAGAAGAACCACCGTTGATTGTCAACAACACTCGTTGATGATGGCATGACATGATCCGTCCATCACACCCGGGCCGGGGCGGATGTGTTCCCCGGTCGCAACTCATCACCATCTGATCTCACCAGATGAGTCACCTCACCACCAACCAAACCCAATTCTGCTCTGCTTGTCCCTTCAAATTTCCCGTCTCGCGTGTGAATGTTTGCACGACTGGCGATTCGGCAAACAGCCATCAGCGACGATGTTTGTCGGGGCTTGGGCGGACGTCAGCATCCCGCTGGCGTAAATTGCAAGTGACGCAGATTGTGCGCGGGGATCCCGTGGCGGGGAAGACCGCAACTTCGTTTGTGCTGTGCTGTGATGCCAGCATTGCGAAGGGGAGGGGGGGTGCGGCGGAGAAACGCACAGCGCAGGAATCCAGCACGCGCAAAAATCAGCATCCAGGATTGCCCCACCCCCCTTCGCTTGCCCTTTCGCTGCGAGAAGTGACTTCGGCCCCTCAGCAAGCAAAAGGCCTGGAATCCCCATAACTAATTTACATTTTTTTGCATATTTCGCCTGCTTGGTGACGAGTGTTTGTAGAATGTGCAAGCTCATTTGTTCTAAGCTTTAGCGAGACACAGTTTCGGAGTACATTTGCGGAACTGTTTCGCGAACATGACGAGGAGAGGAGAACCCACGTTCTATGAACAAAAGTCGCAAGCATCGCATCGCAACGGCAGTTTCGAGCGAGCAGCTGCGAGTGGGTTACTAGCGTCGCCTAGACGTAACTTTTTCTTGCAGATGTTTTGCCTTTTGTCAACCAATAAGATTGCTTCGCGGGCTTCACCTGCTTCTGTCTGTCGACAGGCTTCAACTGGACCGCCTTCTGTCAGGCTGTTTCTAGAAAATGGCGGCCATACTTCATCTGTGCCTCCATTGACTTGACTTGCTTGAGAAATCGTGCACTGAAAGAATGCAGCACGGCATTACTCACAGCCTCTTTTCTGTACTCAGGTTCCTTCGTCGCGGCGTGAGATACCAAATCATGGATTCTTGTTTTAGTCAATGAAGCTGTGTCACTTTCGCCGTCAGATACTTTCCACGCTAGGCGAGTCGCGAGTGATCAACCTATCTACCAACACACACGATACCTGTATCAAGTTACGGATCAGTAGTGCTCTTGATTATTCGTATTAGGTAGCTCATAACAATCACGGCATCGAGGGGTTCGATTCGATGTCGTCGTCAGGACACAGAAATGGCGATCTGCACATTGGAACCAACAGAGACAACACACACTTCCTGTCAAGCGGAGCTCAATTCTCTCCCTCCTACTCACAAGCTACCGGCAGAATGGGAAGCGGAGGCAATCTGGCAGCGAGTCACAAGAAGCAGAGCGAAGCGATAAAGCAGAAGCAGAAGCATAAACCGAAGCAACGCCCGTCCTTCTCTCGCCGACCGCCGCTCATGCTTCCCAGAACGTGGCGAATGCTACGGTTTCTCTTCGTCGCCTTCGTCATCGCGTTAGCTCTATCGTCCTTCTTGATGTCGGGGATCGCTCCGTTCCTAGGAAACCCTAAAGCGATGTGGGCGTTTCTGACCACTCGCCGAGTGCGTAGAATAGCGTTCGGGTCAGGGACAACTCCGGAGAACACGTCGCAGCCAGTGTGGACGCGAGGCGTCATTCCATCCTCGCCTGACGTGTGGATATGGTGAGCCACGTCACGCCTTGGGGTTGGTTATTCGTGTAACCCTAACCATAGTGAATGAGTGATTCGCGTAGCGACCGTTGATCTCAATTACAATCATTTGCTCGGAAACCCTAAGTTTCAGAAGCTTGTGACTTGCTTCTTCCTGTCCTACGTGGCATCTGATCAGGCTTGGTGACATGGCGTATCTGGATGAGCCCGAGGTGAACTGTACACGGTGGCCGTTACATCCGCAATGTAACTGTACCAGCGACTGGTTTCAACAACGGGGCATTTCATGTGTCAGAGGTGAGCTCTTGAGGTGTTACTTCTCAGAACTCCTCAACTTTGAGCTGAACAATGCCAATTTTTTTCATTCTGCGAAAATTACCACCTTTCCAGGAGTTCAAGCATCCCATCCCAGCCCACATTCGCACCTGACCCCGTCTTAACTCTTGGTCCCAACCTCTTTTGACGCGCCCCCTCCCGAATCTCCAGGAAACAGCAAGTATGCCATCACTCGGATGCAACAGCAGCTACAGAACCCGGATTATATCAAAGTAAGGCCGCATGCTTGCATTGTGTCTCTTGCATTCCTGTTCGTTCCGACATCAGCACTCTTCTCTAATCAAGCTCTGTGCGCTGCTCGTGCATGTTGCTGCTTTGGTGCTCTGCTCATGCTCTGCTGTGTTCTGCTCTTGGCCTGACTGATGGTGTGCTGATCCCTCTGCGTGCTACCTGAGTAGCAGCAACCCGAGCACCACATTAAACGCACGCATCCATGCTTCGTTGATGTTGTTGTCTGTCACTGGGGGAAAGAAATGAATGGTGGATGTTCCGGGTGGATTGGAATGTTCTGCTTTTAATCGGATTGCATGGGGGCCATGGGTTTGGCTGGATGGATGGGAGGGGATGGAATGATCTGTTGCAGTTTTTGCAGTTCATGTGTCCGCGATACAAGCCCAGCAACGTGACGCCGATCCCTGACGGCTCTGATCCGTCTGCGTGCCCGCGCAGCATCCTGGGCGTGTATGACGACCGGGACTTCGGCTGGTGCGTTGCCCCTTCACGCCCTTCCCCACTCACACTCCTCACTCACACTCCTCACCTGCATTCCTCTCTCACACTCTCTCACTTTCCCTTAGCCGCTAGGTAGCCGTTTCTCACTCTCACTTGTCACCCCCACCCTCACCGTCACCTCTCTGTGTGAGCAGGGCGCACGGGTACAAGCGGCTGATGCACAAGGACCCGCTCAAGACGGTTTTCCTTGACGCCCTGGGCGCGCCCAAAGAGGACCCGCGGCCGCGATCCGAGGGGATGGCATTCAGGCCGTGGTGAGGGGAGGGGCGGGCAGGAGGAGAAGGGAGGCTGAATGTGTGTTCTTACAGTATTATGTCGGGTGCCGTTTGTAACTTGTGGTTGGATTGATAAGAGGATCCGTCCACCAGCCGTTGCTCTTCATTCAATTGCTCCCTCTAGCTGGTTCTCTGTCTCTGCTGTCTCTCTCTTCCACTTCACCGTTGCACACC